AAATTTTGTATTATACTTACTGAGAAATTAATTTACTTGTTTGATTTGTAATATTTGTTCTCGATGATTTTCTTGATGGATTTGACAATGAATTATTTGCTGTTGAATTATTTGCTGTTGATGGTGATGTACGTATTTCATTATAACACTCAGCTATAACTTCAAAACAACGCCTCTCAGTTAATATTAGTGGAAATTCCATAATAACATTAATTAATATATGCCTACGACCAGGTTCAATAATAAAATTATATTTGCATGCTTCATTTCGTATTTCATAATCTGGTCTATAAAGATTTAAAAATAGATATGTTTTTCAATTTGAATTATTTAAAAACTAATTTATCTTACGTTTCTATATGTAAATATCTGAATACTTTGGAATAGTTATTTATAATATATTCATGTTCATATTTCGATGTATCAATATCAAAATGCGTACGAGTTCGATAAATAGCCATTTTATTTAATCTAAAATATGGAAAGAAAAAAAAAGATTTTCTACTTGTTAATCAATTGAATTCAAATTAAATTGAAGTATATTTCGATCTTTCATTCAATTAAAAAAAAAATATCTGTTAGCTATTAGCCAATGATCGAATGAATTAAATTCAAGAGGTCTTCGTTAATATAAATATCCATTATAAGACTCCGAGTTTCAAAGATATTCAAGACTTGTGCAATCATGTGTTTTTGTACTCATTTGTATACAGTTCATTAATTTTTATTTTTTTGTCGAATTATATGATATTCACATTATTTATTTGAGTTAGTTTTAAAGTGAAGGAATGAATTCCTGAAGCTAACACAAATTGAAATTTTTTTTATATAGATAATTATTCTAAGAATCGATATACAATATTTTGGAATAGAAAATTCAATTACATGTTATCAAGAAAGAAAATCAAGTTATACAAACCATTCCTCTTCATACTATTCTCTTTTTTTTAACTAATTAGAATTTATTCGATTTCATAGTTGTGAATTTTTTTAAAACAATCTATTTGTATATAGAGTTTAGTCGATTCATGAAGACGAATATTCATATGTACATACTATTGGAAAAGGTTTTCAAGTACATACATGTTTTTCGTCATTCAATATCATAATTCCAATTTTCAAATTTCGAAAATATTATAACCAATTGATAAATTAGCTCGGTTATTATAAATTAAGATTTCAACTACACCTACATATTCGATTCAAAAATTTCTGATTAAATAATTCATTTTCTTCTATCTTTTCTTACTCTATCTCATGAATACAAAATCAAAACTAATAAAATGATTCGTCAGTATCACTACCACTAACAACATTTAAAAGGTTTCTTTCTCTCAATTGTAACAAAGGATATTTTGTAAGACACACATGTATAAAAAGTTTTATTGTTTCAACGAAATATATTTTTATATTTTTCAAAATCAAAATAATGTTTTTTTAATAACTGGTTAATATTAACACCAATCATATTATTGTCGCTATTATTTGACATTGACAGATCCTCAACAGTGTTTCTAACAGCAAGGGTCAGCCTTTGTTACAAAGTGTCCAAGACCCTTGCTGAGAATAATTTATACTTTGCTGTTCATCGAAAACATCTCCCAATCCCGACTTCTGAATTTTGTGATTAATATTGATGTATTCATTATCCTGACATTTTCTAGTTAGTATTTGGATTTATTGGAACGTTTCTCTACATTTCAATTTTTGTTATTCTTTTATACTTGACAGAACCTTTTAGGCAACTTATGCGAATGCTTTTCTTATCACCATNTTCTTTGGTAAGAAAATCAGGTAACGAAATTTGTAAATCTGACTGCGGATTTGGGTTCCTTAACCTCGATTATCTTTTGTCAAATTTCACAAAAAATTGCTATTGTCTGAAAAATTTCTTCTTTAACGAAAAGCTTAGAGTTATAGCAAAATGACACTCTTCAATGCCAATAGCTTAATCATGTATTCAACTTGTGATATGCCTATTCCTAATCACTACTGATTCTGACCAATTGCAATTGCAATTACAATTCTAATTTATGCCGTCCTATACCTATTCCAGTTCTGAACAATTGTAACAAATTCTGATTCCAATTCTGACTAAATTCAACCGATTCCAATTCTGACTAAATTCAACCGATTCCAATTCTAGCTAATGCCGACCTCTTCTAGGAATTGGAATTCGTGTATCTCTATAAATTAACTACGTAACAAAAATAGTTACTTAGTTACTAATGTCTGTCCAAAAATTAAATGGCCGTGGGTATTTTTGCAATAACTCAAGAACAGAAAGAGCTAGAGAGCTGTAGTTTTCACCATTACGTAGATAAATGAGTACTCTATATATTCATCAAGATATGCTGGAAATCCTTGCTGTTTCAGTATTCGCCCATTACGAGCCTTTCAAACAGTCTATTACGATTTTTTAAAGTTCTATGAAGACATATATATCTAAAGTATGCAAAGCATAGCCCGGATGTCCCTCTGCAAAACCACGCAAGGCTGCGCTCTCTAGCTATTATGGTTCAAAATTGGCGCCTATTTTCCTGACGCCCATGCAAGTCGTTTTTCTCAATGCGATAACTTATGAGTTCATACAACAAAGCACCTTGTTGACCATAGTATTCTTTACGGAAACTACTGTTCTGAATCTCAAACAACTCTTGTAATTGAAAATGGGGAGTTAGATTATGCAGAAGGACCGTAGATTGCGAAAATGGAGAAAAATCAAAAAAGTGCAATTTTATGAGAATATATTGGAAAATGTCACTAATCTATATAAACGAACATTAAACTCTTATATACAGTATTTATTTCATTTTCGTATAGTCTTTGTCACGTTTCGTAGTTACTCTTAGTATCCTTTAGGTGAACCGTAATCATCTTTTTTAAATAAAAAGTGAATCAGTGTATGTGCCTATACGTTCACCTTTGTGGTGTTGTTGATGTTGTTTTTTCGGAAGGAATTTTGAATGACCAAACTCTTGAAAAGAAAAGAAATGTATGACCCTCAGAATACGAATGCAACGTGACAAAGACTATACGAAAATGAAATAAATACTGTATATAAGAGTTAAATGTTCGTTTATATAAATTAGTGACATTTTCCAATATATTCTCATAAAATTGCACTGTTTTGATTTTTCTCCATTTTCGCAATCTACGGTCCTTCTGCATAATCTAACTCCCCATTTTCAATTACAAGAGTTGTTTGAGATTCAGAACAGTAGTTTTCGTAAAGAATACTATGATCAACAAGGTGCTTTGTTGTATGAACTCGTAAGTTATCGCATTGAGAAAAACGACTTGCATGGGCCTCAGGGAAATAGGCGCCAATTTTGAACCATAATAGCTAGAGAGCTCAGCCTTGCGTGGTTTTGTAGAGGGACCTCCGGGCTATGCTTTGCATACTTTAGATATATATATATATATGTCTCCATAGAACTTTAAAAAACCGCAATGAACTGTTTGAAAGGTTCATAGTGGGCGAATACTGAAACAGCAAGGATTTCCAGCATATCTTGATGAATATATAGAGTACTCATTTATCTACACAATGGTGAAAACTACAGCTCTCTAGCTCTTTCTGTTCTTGAGTTATTGCAAAAATACCTACGGCCATTTAATTTTTGGACAAAAATTAGTACATAAGTGACTACTGTAGTTACCATTTACAAGTACATAAGTAACTACAGTAGTTACTATTGACTAGTAAATAAGTAAATATGTAGTTACTAGTTACTAGTAACTCAGCAACTATTTTAGTTACATTACTTTGGTGAAGTAACTAAAAAGTAAAGTAAATAACCCACCCCTATAACAAACTAGCAAAAAGTATAGAGAAAAGCTTGTTAGCGCAGCCCCTTTGGGGCTGAAATGTGGAACTCACATATGCTCTCTAGCCTCATTCAACTAATATAAAATACGTAAACTGAAAAATCTCTCCTAGACTAAAGTTGTTTTGCAGGATAATCAATCGCAAGAGTAAGAATCTCTCTAATTTCGAACATAATGTTCTTTAAATTTTTTTCTATGGGCGCCCTATTTTTTATTTGCATTGTTGNTGCTAAAATCTAACGATCTAAATTTTAATCCTGTTCTGAATCGATTTAAGTTCTATGTAATAAAACGACATCGATTTTCTAAAATTCTCAAAAGAGAAGATTTTTCTTCAAGAGTGTATTTCTGTTGTATGAGTTGAAATGGCTATGCTTTCTCTAAAAAAAGACAAATTAAAACAGAAAAAATTCCTGCTTTCTAGGCGATTCTATGTGCTCTATAATCTAAACAGATAAAAAAAAAAGGTGTCAGATGAAAAGTTTGTTAGTCTGAAAAATCGATTTTCTAGAAAATCACCATTTAAAGCGTTAAGAAGATTTCTCATGACCGATTTTAGGAATCGGCATGATTGATTGATAACTCATAATTTACTAGCTTTCGATAAGATAGTAGCTGGTCAGCTAAAAACGTTCCTTTGCAAGAAAACAGAACAAACTTTCAGAATTAGTTAGTTTAAAAGTTAACTATTACAAAATTTTTCGAATTTTCAAACGTGAAACATTGATCTTTGCAAACAAGTTCATGTCCAATAGGCTGCAACAATGCGTTTTACTTATGAAGCATGAATTTTAGCATTTAAACTGATTACTAGTTTTGAAAACTTGCATCAGTATTGTTCCTTTTAACTTCTTGTTATCGTCTTAGATAGAAGCTGAAGATTATTTATAAAATGCTTCTTATGTATTTTTCTTACTTGACAATAGGTAACATTTCTTTAGTTGACACCAAAAAATATGACTTAACTTTAAAAAGCTATCATCATTAAACAAAAAGTCAGTTCATTCGAGTGAATCGAAGGGAAGATAGTTCAATTTTTTATTGTAGTACTATTTATGGTTCAACCTGTATCTATTAATCATAAATTTTACCATTGAATTATAAATTTCGGATGAAAACATTCTAAAAGCAAAATTAAAATGAAGATTCATATAAATATAAAAAAATCTTTACAATTCAATTTGAAGTGAAATAATACCATAAGTATCACGGAGTGTTACTAAAACGTTATAATATGTAACATAGAACATAAACTTTTTCATTTTAACATACCATTACATGTAAAATGATTTGAACCAGCTGTTTGTAAATAATCTTCGAGTGATTCTTGTATGATTTCAGCAATAATTTCTAGAAGAATATAATCTCGTATTGAAGTAATACCATGTTCAAAAAAGATTGACATATGAGTAGCACAATCATTCGATTGACAACTTTCAATTTTAACAATACTTTGTTGAGCTGGTAATTGTATTGCACGAAGCTTTAAATCAAAATTTATTATTCATATTTTATTAAGTAGTTTTTACCGAAGGTAATAAGATTTTTGATACAGAACCTAATTCAAGTATATTTTGTGTTATATAGAAGAGTTCTTTCGATTCCTTAAATGAAACAATAGAAAGTGTGAAAATACTTGCAATGAGTATCAACATGATTAGGTTTTTTATTTCTCTTTGTAAAAAAAAAAGAGCCGTTAGCACAACTCCTGCAGACTTAAAATGTGAAACACGATGTAGTTACTTTCTGAAAGAAGAGGTTTCATTCATTTATTAATAAATCGGCAAAGGTCCTAGATATGCCAGATAAAACAAATAGTTCCAGGTGTTTCGAAAAGTCCTATCTCGCATCCTTTTTTTGATGTTGAACTTCTTAACAAAGATGGTTCAAGCGCAAATTACTTGGATTACAACGAATTATTGTTTGAACACAACTTAATTAATACAAATCTGAAATAGCTTTACTTATGGAATATTAGTGATAATGGAAAGCAAGCGACAGACACTACTTTACCATTAATATAAGGTTTACATTTTTTCTGTTTATTATTTCATTTCAAGTCTTTCGATTATGGAAGATCTATTTTGCGGAAATAACATCTTTTTATAAAAACTTGATCAATAGTATTAAGATTTGAGGTTATCGGGTTGATTGTATACAGTCGTTATTTTCGAAAAAGAGGTTTTTCTTGAATGAAAAAGTTTCAATTGAATAATATAAGCTTCGCTTTAACTACTTAATCATTTAATAAATTGATTTTGATTTATTTTGATACATCTCAAGAATCAATTCAATTGTTAGCTTTTGTTGTGTCTTTTTAGAATCATGTGAACAGCAAAGAGTGACTTTTCCGAAGAGAGACGAAAATATCGACTGTTGTTCAAACTACAAGAAATCTGGATGTCTACATTTATAAACGAGATCCTGTAAATACGTTTCGAGCTATTGTTTCACTTGATATCACGACCAAGAGATTAATTAGATTATTTAACTTAGGAAGATTTCCTGAAAAAAACCTTGATCATTTCAACAGGATTCGCCTAAATGTGTTAAATGGACTGTTGTTTTTTCGAGTGGAACCATTGTTTGAAGAATGCTAGAATCCTAAAAGATCCAGTGTGACATCTTTATTTTTTGTGAGTAGTGTTGCTAATTACACAAACACTGTTTCATTCTATCTGTTTTGGAACATATTCCTTCACAATTCGTTGATTTAAGCCTTCAGCAAATGCAATAAGATGGATAAACTAAAATGCATTAAAATATTAGAAAGATACAAAAAAAGAAATGATTAATAACAATAAAAATTTCTATCTAATTGTACTTTCTGTCAAATCGATTGTTCTAATTCTATAACTTTGTATGAATCTATTCATCTATTTTCAGTTATTCACTTAATTTATTTCTAAAAAGATTAGATAATAACAAATTCTTGAGCAAAATAGAAAATTAACATAGCGAGACGATCATCCTAATTTTTTCTTCATACAAGAAACGTTTGAACTAATGCAATGTTTTTGACTATGTCAGTAGTGTTTCGCATAATAGAAAAAAAAACCATATGATTAGGAATTCAACGAAGAGAAAGAAGAAAATGTGCAACGAGATTGTAGGGAATAAGTGATACTTATAATAAGAGATAAGGGCATGTACATTTAACAATCAATTTTTGCAACAGCAGCAACGCAAAATGCTCTAATTGTTTTGGATCTAAACAAGTTTTTCTATCAGTCAATGAAATTTCTACAACATCAAATTAAAATTCAGATCAAGCATTTGTTACTGGAATTGAATGAATTTATCAAAGTACTCTCGCATAATAATCAGGTGATACATCAAAATTTGATTACCAAACCGGCAGCTCTGATTTAGAAATATTCAATTATCCTGACTCGTTGTTGCTACAGCCAAACAGATCTTCAAATATTCTGCTACTGCAATAGTTATATTTATCAAACAAAAGATATTCCAATGGTATTATTCATCTTTAACAAAGGGAACGATTGTTTTACTCCCGTTTTTTAGTAGATATTTTGTTAATCATACATACCAAGATGAAACTTTTTAAAATTATCTGTATTCCATGGTTCTTTTAAACCTATATAATCAGGTAAAGTTTTAAAACTAAACATTCCAAGAAAAAAAACAATCTTTAGCTAAATTGAAATTATTTGGTGTGGATTGAATACCTGCGTTTCATTAAACAAAATAATCGTTCAATACGTTGTTGCATTATTCGGAATGATTCTTAAGTAAGAGAGAAATATCATTTTTTGAAATTTAAATTCTTATTTTAACTTACCATTTGATATCATAACAAGATTCATTCCTTCTGGAACACAATATCGATCTTTAACAAATTGCTTTAAAATTGTAGAACTATTGTCATTTGCAACAAAGTCTTTTAAACTCTTTTTATTTCCTAAAGACAAGCTTTATTGAAGTATATCAAATAGAAATCTCATTAAACTTTTTTTTCTTACCCCAAGAAAAATTTCTTATTGGATGATTTTCTTTGGCTAAATATGCAAGTAGACGTGATGCTCGATAATAGTCATCAAATTGTGCAATTGTACTTTCATCATCAATAATTTGAATTTGATCATATATTGCTTCAGGTGACATAAGAGGATCTATAAATGAATGTATAAGAATATCAAGTGTTTCAACAACACGATTCGAGGAAATTTCAATAAGAATAACTGTCTATTGAAATAATATAATAAAATATATTATCTTTAAACATATATATTATGACTTACAAATTCAAGTTCTGTATATGCATGAATTGTTCCACCATGATACGAAACAAATGTATCCAGACAGTTTATTTCAGGATACTTAGATGAACTAGAAAAGAGTACTGAAAAGAATTGATACTCTATATGATACATATATATACTAAGTATAAATATACAATGTTCAGTTAAATGAGCAAGACCTTGTGAATTTGAAGGATCTAGAAGAGAACCAGCTGGAATATACAAAGCAACAGTTGCCTAAAAAATATGAATACATTCGTTAAAATTAGTTGTACGTATATCTATAATAATATTTACTAACCATATGATATTTGAAAAATGCTTCGTCTGCATCTGAAGAAAGTAATTTATCACTAAAATCATATACACATTTTGATTTACAAATATGATTTGATTCTATAATTTACTCTGTATCATATTGATTGCTTCTCTCATCATCTTCGTCTTCTTCATCTTCATATGAATTATTTGTTACTAACATACAACGTAAGCCATTACGTAATTCAATTAATCTATAAAGTTTATATGCTTTTGAAATTTTTCTTTCGATTTTTACTTACCGATACCATCGATGATCATTTGGACTAACAGCAATAATACTATGTTCATCTTCTTTAGTTTCATTTATTGTTTTATTTGTACCTATTAAATATTCTGTAATGAGTACATGTTCTTCACGTTCGGTAACCGTTTCTTTATTGTGTGGTAATGGTAATGAAGATTTGATAACCATTTAATTGTAAATTTATTAAATCTATTGATATTATGTGTAAGAATTGTTAAATTATCTATTTATTTTGAATAAATCAATGTTATCGTTGAAATAAGTTACAATGCAACTTTGTTTTTTTTTATCATAGCGATAGAACTACTGTAGTCAAGTTCTTAATTAATATGACTTGTGTTTCAAACACTAAGAAAGAAAAGAATAAAAAAAAAATCTGCATCGATCAGTCGTTGAGAATTTTAAGCGTGAACAATTCTTACTCATAAACAGCATTTAAATGTGAATTTGCTTGACAAATTGTGTATGATTGTAATTCGAAAAGTAAATAACTTATCAATTATTGATGAGCACTGTGACTAAATTAAAAGTATTGAAATGTATTTCATAGCAAGCATGAAGAAAGACTGTTATTCTGTGTACTCTGTTACTCATCAATATAGCTAGTAATGGTAGAACTTCTGTATTTTGTCAAACTGAATTTACATTTTCAAGCATCTATTTACAGTCATATTGGATTAATTAGTACTTTTGTTTCTATTCACTATGACTGATTTGAAGTTTGATAATGTTTGTTAGATTTCATATAACCGTATTTTTCACAGCTATTAATTATTTAGTATAGAGAGCAATATATGCTTGTTTTGATTAAAAACTATCTTCTAATTCCGAAAAAAAACGGTTGACCAACATTCAAATAGAACAGATCAACAAATGTGTTGTTGTACTAATTCTTCTGGAGGGACTAGTATAGGAATCGAAATCTAATAAATCAACAAGATAGACGCCTTTGTCAAGTGAAAATAGTCGTAAATCAGTTAATAATAGAGTTAATTTTGTATCTTGCTATGGATTAACAAACACTGTAGCTAGATATAAATATTTCAATTGATTTATAATAATAGCATTGTTTTTTTGAAGGTGTACTAATAAAAAATGATAGGAATGTACCTGTAACACGATAGAAATGGATGAAAATTTTTGCCTATCGAAAGTACTTTAATTCACATTAGATTGAATGATCATGTTATGAGCCAAGAATTTATCACTATCAAGTATATAAATAAATTCTTCCCATTGTAGATCTGCTAAAGTTTATGATAGATTATCAAATATAAAATATTCTTGTCCATCTATTCACCTTCACTGTTCTATAGCCCTTTCGGGGAAAAAATAGCTAATTTAGAAATACAGATGAGACATATGAAACTGTAATGAAATAATTTCCATGATATTATTATACTTTTACGTTGATGCATTTGGTTGATGATCTATTGATACGACTAGATGTTGCAAATCAATGCAGTTGTTCTTACTCTAGAAATAATGCACTCATTGAAGATACATCTGAATCCAGTGAATATTGGGTAGAAAATCGTCAAGACGATAGATTCATTTATACAAATGATGAAAAGTTTAATCCTGTACCTACTGAAAAATGCTACTTGCCATTTTTTCCTATGATGAGTCAAGCTTTTGTTTTCAACCATCAATGCTTATGAACTGATGTTCTTATACAACTCAATGCAAAATAAGCAGATGATTATTTCATTGGTAAAATCTTAGATTTAAATTTGAGAGACTGTTGAAACAACAGATAAACTAGTACACAGTCATTCAAGAGTGGTAAGTCAAGTGACTGGACGTTTATCTGTGAACAAAGCTTTGCCTACTACTCAGAAAGAACACTTAAGTTCATGCCTTTTGTTATTGTAATATAAATTGAAGAATATTTCACAAGATGTGAAATATGTGTTATATAATTTCACGTGATTCGTAAACGAGCTCATGATGAATATTTTGAAATGATCAACAATCTGAATGAACAATTTCTTAAACCAAAAACGAGAAAATGGTTTAAAATCAAGAAATAAACAAAAATTAAATAATAAAGCACTTCGTAATTATCTTCAAAAATTGATAATTGATTTTTACATCGTGTATGTATCTTAATTTAGCTTTGAATTCTATACTATCTTATGATATAATCTTTGAAATAATTTATTACTTTTGAGATCATATTTTTTTGTCATATAGAAAGCCTCTAGATTAGAATAATCTTAAAAGAATTCGAACCCATTGATATTCTTCATAGAGCGATACGACAGTTTTGATAGATTCTTATCAAAGACTAGGATACTGAAAAAGATTTTCAACAAAAGATTTTCAACCGAGAGTTTTGTCGATAATTAGGTCGCTTGATTCTAAGAATATTTTCAAGAGTTTTAACGGAAAAAATGTCTTTCTTATTGAATGTTCAAAAAACTTCCTGTTTTTTTTAACATTTCTTTAATCTAATCGATTTTAGAATATTCTTATAATAATGAGTCCTATCCTATCGACAAAATTCAAGTTCAAATAAAAACTTTCATGTGATTTCTGTGCTGATACTCTGTTTTATGATAAAAATTCAACAAAGTTATCGTACCTTTATTAAAAAAAAAACCGTTTTAAGATTATTCTAATGTAACGATGTTTTCTATATGACTAAAAGATAACTTCAACAATTGATGAAGTATTTGAGATGCTTACATCATTATCACAAATTGTCTTTCACTATAAACTTTTATTTATATTATCTATTTCTGAGTCATGTTACTCTTTCATAATTAATTAACTATAAATATTTATTTAAATATCAAAATAAATCTCTGATTATTTGGTTTATTTTATCACAGTCGGTATTAATCCAATAAATTTGGATTAATATACATCTTTCGAAGTCTTGAATATAATCCAATATGATGAACTAAATTAGGTTCAACAAGATATGTTTGAAGATGTGTACGTTTTGGTAAATCATCAAAAGCTGTATCAATTGCATAGTTTTTATGGCATTTAATACTATTTAAATATTCAATAACTTGAATATAAGTTTGTCGAAAATAGATAACACCAGGTAAACAACATGATGGTGCTGGATAAATAGAATAAAATGATGGATGTAATGAACGCCATGTCCATGAAACATTAGAATGGTCAAGTAGAATAAGAACTAGAGTAATAAGAAAAAAATAAAATATAAAATAAAACAATTTTATATTATTTTTAATTAGATTAGAAAGGTATATATGATTATTTAATGATGAACGAGAGTAAGATTTCAATTGCGTTTGATTTATATTATTTTTTTTCTTAAAAATATAAAGAAAAAAAAAAACAAATAATTTAAATATGTCATTCAAATAGATGTTGTAACTTACTTGAATAATAATTTCATAGAAATAAAAACAAATAAAAAAAACTAATGTAAGAAAAAGACTTGTTGCAATTAATTGTATAACAATATAAAATGATGGATGAAAATAACTAATTAACCATCTTGGATGATAAATTTTAATAAAAGCTGGTTGTTTTCTATGACCATATAATGGCCATTGTTGTTTAATACGATAATCAATTAATGATAATAATTGATTATAAAAATTTTTATTTGTTGGCTCAGCATCATCTTGTAATAATAAAAGATAATTTGCATTTGGAAATGACTGAAAATTTGCTAATAAACATTGTAAATATGCTTGTTTTTCTCGTTCATATGTATTTATTATAGATTCAGGTAAAGTATTTATTATAAAAACAGGTAATAAACGTCGAATAAGTTCAATACTATCAGATATTTGATCATTTGTATTATTATTTTCACATAATGTTATTATAAAACGTGAATGATAATTTTTAAGTAAATGATAAAGTATTTGACCTATATAAAATTTTCCTTCTCGATGATCACTATCTTGTTTACTATATAATATTGATATTATAATATGATCATGTTTATTTAATAATGTTTGTTTAGGCTTATTAAGTAATGTATATGATGATAATAAATTAGTTTTTGTTTCAAGATAATCGTAAAATATTGATTGTTGAGTTTGTTTTGAAATAAGATTTGAATGATTTTCTGGATGTTTTAATATATTTTCAATCCATTTAAAAGCATTTTTTTGTTCTTCTTTATGTTGATTTATTAAATTATTACGCACAGATTCACTTGATGATTCTTGAAATAAAAGACTAAATGGTTGTCGATAAGATATAAAACTAGTTGTGAATAAAGTAATAAAAAATAGATAAATATGAATACGATGATTCCAATGAAATAGAATAAATAAAATAATTGATAATATTTGTTTGAATGGATTTCGTCGATATTTCAAACGAATGGCAAACATTATTTAATTGATAAATTATGAAAATAACTAGATATTTCGATGAGAATACTTATTTGTTTTATACGAAATATGTGTACATTTTCAATGTTATCTGGCTTTTTTTCTTGCTCTTTTTCTTGCTCTTTTCATTGATATCTCATTGACTTTTTCATAGTTCACATGTAAGAAAAGAGAACGAGTCGGTGAAGACTCGTGTGAGTGCTTTTTTCTAATTATCATTGAGGTCTCTTGTTTTTTGTGCATTTTACATTGCTCTATTTTGTTCTTCACGATGTATCTCAATGGTGATGATCGCAACTGCAGAAAAAAAAGAAAGAAAGAAAGAAAAAAAAGAAAAAAACAAATTTTGCGTTCTGCTGTCAATAAATGTCTTTATCAAAGCAACATTCATGCGTTATATAACACTAGGTCGTGCCGAAAAATAACTGTTATAAGTTCTAAACAATAATTTACAACAAATTTTACATCATTTTTATTCATATGACATTACATACCTTCTACTAATATTAGTATTCTTCTTTCTCTTTGTATTATTGTAGATTAATTTTTATAAACAATGTCATTTTATCGAACAGCTATTTTTGGTATTAAAGGTCTTTCTGAATATACTCGATCCGGTTTTGAAGCAGCAGCAAAACGATTTAATTCATATGATACTGATGCTGACTTGTCTGATCAACATATAATGATTACTGGAGCTAATTCGGTAATTTATTAAAAAGAAATAAATAAAATTAAACATTTGATTACATAATCATACATATATTTGTTTGTTTATTTGTTTTTTTTTAAATAAAGGGTATTGGAAAAATAGCTGCACTTGAATGTGCTAAACGTCAAGCTCATGTTTATATGGTTTGTCGTGATGAAAAACGTGGCAAAGAAGCTCAAGAAGAAATTATTCGAGACTCAAATAATCGAAATGTTGAATTATATTTATGTGATATGTCAAAACCACAAGATGTTACTGCATTCACAAAACAATTTATTGAATCACAAAAACCATTAAATGTATAAATTATTAAAAAAAAATTTTTTTCTATAAAAATTTTATTTATTTTAGGTTTTATGTAATAATGCAGGATGTATGATTAATGAAAGACAATTAATAAATGATGAACATGAAGCAAATTTTGCTACAAATACATTAGGTACATATATATTAACAAAGAATTTCATACCTATTTTAACACAAAATCAACCTGCACGTGTATTTACAACCAGTTCAGGAGGTATGAATAAGGAAGAAAAAAAAAGAAATTATATTTGTTTGATTTTTATATCAGTTTTTTATTAGGTATGTATAATGTTAAACTTGATCCGGATGATTTTAATTCAATTCAAATGCGAACATTTAATGGTGATCTTGTTTATGCACAGAATAAACGACAGCAAGTTGTTATGGCTGAACGGCTTGCTGAACGACATCCATCTATTTATTTTGCTACATGGCATCCAGGTAACATTTGTATAGACATATCAATTTGAATGAAAAATTCGTCTTAAAGGTTGGGTTGATACACCTGCTGTTCGTTCGGCAATGCCGTCGTTTTATGCAAAAATGCAAAGTCGTTTAAGAACACCAGAGCAAGGTGCTGATACATTGATCTGGTTATGTTGTCAAAAGGATATTGATAAAAAATATAAAAGTGGAGATTTTTTTCAAGATCGTATGCCTGTTTCAAAACATCTACCATTAGCATGGACGAAATCAACTATTGAAGAAGATGAACGATTTATGAGAAATCTTGATCGAGTTTATGAAAAGTATATTCAATAGATAGTGAATGGAATTTTTTGTAATTCTATTGTTGAAAAATACAGATGATGATGATTAATTTTACAATAAAACTATTGAATGGACAGGATTATTTTCGCCAAAGCCATAATTTCAGACAAAATATAATACAAAGAAACGTATTGTTCATAGTATAGATTTCAATTGAAGTCTCAGAATAGATTTGAATATATTTCATGCTGAAATGTTGATTAACAACTGAATGTAAACAATTAAAGAAACAAAAGTGTAAAAATGTAGAATAAACAGTATTGATTTTATGAAGGGTACTCTCCCTATTTTTGATTGTTTCTGGTTCTCGAAGACATTACAACCAATCAAGCTGGAATTTTACTACAGATAAATCACCAAAACTAAGGAGGCATGTGCCTGTGAAGAAAAAATCTGAAGTGAATTTTTGCAATTTTTTATAGAAAGCACTGGTCTTCCTTAGGCCGCATCCTGATACATAACGACTGCTATCACACTTTATCCGATTGGGCTGGAAACTTGTTTTTGAAGCTATCTACGATTGTATCCGACGAGGGGAGGTCTTCAAGTATTACTTGTTAATAGAAATGATGCTTTTCACATGAACAGGACACAACGAAACTAGTCACAACCTATAAAAATCCAGCCTCATGCGCTGTTCTTTCTAGACTATTGCAATTTTACTAAATATTTTTTATTTCTGACGAAGTATTTGCGAAAAAGTCAAAGTGCGAAGTTTCAACTTGAAAATTTGTCCAATAGTAGGTCTCATGGATGATAGAATACACTGAAAATTTCGACTTAATGGGATATATTCTTCTTGAGATATTGAATATTCAACAGCAGTCATGCGTTCCAAAGAAAGGTAAGAAAGTTCAGTGTTTTCAAGACTCGATATCTCCAGAACAACACATTGTTTTAAGTTGAAATATTTTAGTTTGATTGTTCCACAAACATCTTGCCCAATATAAAAATTGAGTAAAATTGTAATAACTTGGGAAGGACAGTATACGAGAACGAATTCTTATAGACTTCTACGTGTCTCGTCCGGATCTACTTACTGACAAAATATCAGTTCAATTGAGGAGTGACACTTGGGGGCGTTCTTTCTTCAGAAGTAATATTAAAATTTTTTAAAATGTCACTTTCTTTCTTTTGACGAAAGAAATACGTGAAACTTTGCTGCTAAAATCAAGACCTTGGTTTTCACAAGATCCTGTAAATCAGAGTAGAAAAATCAAAAGTCAAGAAGGTCAATTTTACCTATGGAAAATACTTTCAAGTATCCATGGTAAAAGTTTCAGCCCAATTAAGCAAAATTAGATGGGGATCGTAAGCGAACACGTGTTTCCTCATTTTTGGTGCTCTGTCTGTAGTAAAAAAAATCAGCTTGATTGGTTGTAACATCTTCGAGAATCAAAAAAGATTAAACAAAAACAGAAGGAGATCCGCTTAATGCAATCACTCCAGCAGTTATTACAAGCCTAATATCAACATTTTGATGTAGATTTAGTAATCGTTTTCTATTCCAGTATCTTTTATACGCTTCAAATAACAGAGTTTACAATATAAGACAGAAAATAGCGTCATAATCTATAAAACCCTCGTCATAATAAAAGCCTTTGAGGATTCTAAAATGTCCAAGTATTCAAAAATTTCCAGCGGGTGTCTATGATGAGGGAGCTATTAATATGACTATCACAAAAAATTACTGAAAAAGACTGCGTATTATCATGCCTCATCTCGGTTTATATGCAACGAATTTTTTTAGATAACAAGATAAAAAATTAATTAGTGTCTTTCTTTTATTCCATACGAGATCATTGAAGAATAATTCAGGTACGAAGATGCAGATTGAGAAATGTTTATTCTATTTCCAAAAAGAAGCAATTGTTTCAGATACATTCTTACCATTGCATGCTATTCATTACGACTGATTTGTCTTTAATGATGAGATTACATGGTAACACATTTCTACTTTCAATTCCTTCTTGCTTTTTTTCTAAATAAGAGATTGATGAAATGTTTGTGCTATACACGTCGAAGTCCAATTAAAAAAACACCAGCTCCGTACGTGCTCTTTTTTTCATCTTCCAACCATATCATGATATTACAAGCAGAAGAACTATAAATTTGTTAATTTGTAATGATGTCCAAATACTTTCTCTCAGATAAAGTAACGATTACAGAGTATATAATGATTATGATCTCAAACCTCGATGAAAAATGAAAATAAATTTTAGAGATCATTCTTCATGATGATTATTTGATATGTCAAGAAACATTTTTTTTTATATGCAGGCAGCGTCTTGCCAAGACTAATTTAATCGCAACTGTGAAACTTTTCTTTAAAAACTGAATTTGTCTGAACATTATAAAAGCTCAGGGGCTTCTAATATGGAGAGGAAATCTCCTATTTCTGGGAATAGTTTACTTTCAATCATTTCAAAATGATACTTTAATCTGAAACTATTTTTTAAGTCATGTTTTTTTAAATTTTTATTAATCATTAGCCAAAAATTCAGTTGGTTCTTCACAGCTATGATGACTCTTATTCAGCAAGACTTTGCAAAGAAAGTTTTCATGTGTTTGATAAACCTATTCACTCCGTGAATTTTATACTTCAAAGTATATGAAAATTTCAAGCCACTATGTTCGAATGATCTTCGAAAATAATCAGCAAACTTGAACTTATAATAAAAAATACAAAGGAAAAATATTTCTTTTTTGAATATACATCAATTTTACATTAAGAAATATCATTCACCGTGCTATGACAAATAAAATAGTTTATGTGAATAATAGAGAAATACACTGAATAGCCACGATTTGTTGTTCATAATTGATGGTTTATTTCTTCATCATCATTAACAACAAAACAATTTTTTTCAATATGTATTTATAACAAATTATTTGTTTGTTTGTTTGTTTGTTTTATATTTATGATAAATGATTTGATTTTGATCGTGAAAAAACATATTCACTATATTGTGTCATTGTATCCATAGTTGTTCCGCAAGTTGATGCAACAATAATAAATTGTGAATCAAATAATCGTTGAAAAATTTCTAATTGTGTTAAATTAATAAAAGCATTTAAAGTAAAACGTATAAATTGATTTCTTTCAACATGTGCATGTATTGGTGTTGCTTGCTGTTGTTGTTGTTCTTCTTGAATTTCAGGAAATAAATCATGTATGAGTGTTATATTACCACTTATTAATACACGATCTTGACTTATATTTAATAATAAAACATCATGAGTATTTAATGATAATTGTTGTTGTTTAGTATTTTTTGTTAATTTATTCTGACTCAAGCGTTCTTCAATAGCATTTATTAATGGTGTTAATTCAAAATATCGAGCTTCTTCAAGTAAAGCTGATAATTCAGGAAAATGATCTGGTAATGTTAAACTACCATAACGCATATAATTTAATATATAACGAAAAAGTTTTCCATCACGATCAATAAAATAATGTTGTTTAAGAGTGTCTAATACAATTGGTATTGTACCATTAAATAATTTTGATAAACGACTATCAGGATAACGTGTTAAAGTCTCTAATGATGACGTAAATATTGTACCACCAACATCAATATGAACAGGGGCCGTAAAACGAGATGGATTAGCTGGGCGTGGTATGCCTAATGGAGATGATGAGACTTGTGGCCGAATAAGTGTATTATCGGAGTTTCCATCAAGAAATCTATTTCGAAAAAAAGACAAGAAAAAATGTTTTTTTAAACTTTTCTATAGAGAAATAACAAGAAAGAAGAAAACACAAGAACATTCTTTCTAGGTATAGATAAAAATATATATTTTAATTTACCTTGGTTTTGTTTGTATATTTGATGGAATATCATTAGTTCCACCATTAGAAAGTGTTTTTGGACTTGTAATTTTTGGACTATTTGTTGTTAAATGTGATTCATTTTGTTTTTGATGTTGTTCATCATTATTACCATTAATTAATTTCGATTGTATATTATCTAACTGTTGATGCTTTTTTGTTGCCATTTGTCGTTTATTTGATATAATTGTATTTGTATCATGAGAATGATGTTCAATAAAACGACGTTTATTATTTTGAATAAAATCATTTTCTATTGGCTCACGTTTCGGGATAATCATTGATGATGAAACTTTTGGACTAACTGATGATGAATGTCTTTCTGTCATATCACTATTCATTGTTGTTGTTTTTTCTTTTTATTTCTTTTCTAAATTGTTTGTATTAAATTAAAATACAATAATCATATATGCTATCTTGCAATCGAGAAGACAGTCAGCTAACGATGACAAGGAAGAACGAATTTCTCATTTTTTTTTCTAACATATATACACATACGTACACACACACACACACACACACACACACATACACGGTGTCGCCGGAGGCTATTCGTTAGAATGGAGAGGGAGAAAGAAGAGGGCAAGCGAGCAGCCGAAAGCAGAGTAAGAAAATGAGTGAGAATCGACACGATGTATGTATATGGTAACGGCTTTTTGCAGAACATTGCTTATGGCAATTCGCTTGCCATGTTGCTGCAGATTAGTTTTCTCACGATTAGACACCGAGAGAAAGGAAGAAGCCCTGGCGGCAATAGAACATGTCTCTTTCGTTCGCTTTTGTTGCCTTGGAGCTTCAATCTGTCCTTTTTGCCTCGGACTATCTTCTCGTTTTTTTTTCTCTTTCTTTTACACGTTCAGAACGAGATGGTCAGAAGTAAGCAAAAGCAAAATAAAACTTGTGTATGTTATGTGTGTATGGCTTATTTGCCTATGGCAATGCACAATCATCTTTCTCTCTCTCTCTCTCTCTCTCTCTTTTCCTTCTATTTCTCTTCTTCACTCTTATTGCTTCTTCGACTATTGCTTCAAGCCTTAAGGGTTTTGTCGATCCTATGTGCTTGTCGTTACCATCACTGAAGCCTCTAAGGCATGTTGGTCTAATTGATGTGTGCGTGTATAAGCTATACAGATGCGAAAAAAGAGAGAGTTGAAAGAGAATGATGATGAGAACACGACTTAAAACAATCTTCGTGTATGATGTGAAAAGTACGCTTTGTCTCTCTCTCTTTCTTTTTTTTACTTTTATTCATCTTCATATCTTTAGTCTACTTTAAAGACTATGTAATAAAGCTAAAATGAATCAAGTTTAACTATGTTTAATGAATATTCTGTTTTTCATTTTTGAAATATATATGTATATAAATATATCTATGGGACAATAAATAGTATTTAGAAGATAAGATAAAAAAATATTATTCAACAAGTTTGTAATATAAAAACGATGCATTTTTAAGTACATGTAAACATTGTTCAGAATTTATTTCGATATCATTACTTATGCAATCAATCATTTGTGAAATTTCGTCAATAACAATAGATTGTCCATGATCACATTCATCATCTGCATATGCCCAACCAGCTGCTGTTCGTATGTAAGCACATTGGTTATTTGAACATAATATAGCTAATAATAAATAATCATTATTATATAAACGAATAGCACGTGATGGAAATATTATTTCAACACGATCGAATAATTTAATAAGTTCAATACAAACATCATTTGGTAGTTCATTAGGTATATGAGGTTCACATCCAGTTATTTGTTCATTGATTAAATTTTGTACATTACATTGATCATCAAATATATTTAAACATAATTTATTATGTATGGGAATTTGATTTTCTAGTAAAGATTTTACACGACTAAGTGTCCAATTATCAAGAAAATATTCTTGACCAAATGAAGGTAGATCCTCAGTAGATAATGATGGCCCGTTATTATTTGCTATGTGAACTAAAGGGCAATTATTTTTATTTCCATTATCATTAATCTTACTCTCATTTTCATTATCATGTAAAGTTAATTCATCAACTTGTGATTCTTCAGATTTATCATAGGATGTTGACCTGTAATTTTCTGGACGATATATTCGTGATGATGTTAGATCTGATTCAATGGATGATCTTTGATTGAATGAATCTTTATCGTCAGCTATGGATGAAATCATTTGGATTCTTCGTTGTTCTCGTTCGAATGTTAATCGACTAAGAACACCACGTGATGGTGATATCACATGATTACTATCTGAATTAGGTTCTGTTTGAGAAATAGTTGGTGAAGAAAATGATCGTATTGGTTCTTGAGTTGTGTGTACATTTGCTAGAGGTATTGGCACGAACTGTCTATAAAAAATTAATTTTAAGAAGAAATCATAAAGGAAATTTTTCGGACACATTCATCTTATTCGTAAAATTGCCAACGAGCTAATTTTTAGATAATGTCTTATGTCACAATGTACGGACAGTATTTGTCTACGAGATTCAATATTAAAAGTTCAGTTTTAATTTCAATAGATACATAACAGAACGAAATGATTGATTTGTTTTTCGAAAGATCATTTAACACCAACTATTATCTTGCAGAAGCATTCAAAAGAAATCGAGTTTATTTGAACGAATGTATCTATGAAAATAAGTCACAGTGTAAAATTAGTCATAATGCTGAAAAATAAAATCCACAAAAGCATTTTCTTAGCATTATGGAAAAATAGCTCAGAGAAATCCCAAAAAACAAACAAACAATCTATTCAAGGACAAGAAACATTAGATATGAATATAAATATGAATGTTTAGTGAACTATTTTAATTCAGTATGAAGCCTTACATGAGAGTAAGTGGTAGTAATTGTTGTGAAAATTTCCTATAATTCGAAAAATCTTTTTGCTTATTTTGGAGCTTCTGTCTGCTGCAGTCTTTTCCATTCGACAATCAATATAGTTTTCGTCTTTCATTCCATGGACTAAATCTTTATTTTTCACATACAATAGTAGCCTTTGCAAGAGACTGTATATGATTGCATCACATATCTGCAAATTGAGGTTTGAAGGAAGTGAAATAGGAAACATGCTTTTGTTAAACATGCAACCAATTCTACATTGCAACTAATTGTCATTTTCTCGAACGAATAGAAAAATTTAAGAGACAGATTTCGACAATTAAACGTTTTTCGAAACGAATTATATCTATAAAACAATATCGCTGCTTTATAAGAAAGATTACATTGGTTTTTTATCACTCAACTAACATGATTTCTAATTCCTTGAGTTTGTTTCGTAAAACTTCATATTATCTTCTGTCTAAAGAATTATCTCACGTTCATTCAATTTCCCTAATTGAGAAAAAAAAATTATTATTTCAATAAAATACTAAACAGTTGGCGTACTGTTTATCAAAACAGAATTAGAAATATGCTTTGAAAATGCTTTAATTATACAATTCTAGCTATTGTTTTCTTTTATCCATTCGTATGAATTTGACATTGTTGAACTTTTGTAGAAAATAATAATAAATTTTACATAATATTCATAAATAAAACAAAAAAAGAATTATACTAATTGACTGTACTCAAGCGTTAATTTCTTATCAGAATCATAGCCAAAGTGAAATCGTCCGAAAAATTTCATGTATTCATATTAATAAATTAAATATTTACTCTTTTTCATGAAAATCATAGTCAGAAGTAGTAAGCCTGTTAATCTCGATCTTCTTTTGAATAATTTTGTACGAATCAATAAAACCCGATTCTAAGATATAATAGCCTTGTCCATTTGAACAATTAAAGTAACGCTTATTATCAAATGGACAAGTACCATCAGTATATCCTTTATAATTAAAAAGAAAAGAAAAACTTTATGAAGAAAATGAAAAAAGTTTTTTTCTTACCAGGTAATATCGAATCAATCAATTGCAAACCAATTATCGGTATTTCTTCGATAAAACCAAGCCAACGGACACTATTTTAGACGAATAATAAGAATTGTTGGTCTTTCTTTGGTTTTTATTTTGTTATACAAACTTACATAGCACGTTGTACTGAATTCTGAACAATATCACCAATAGTTAAACTGTTCATTGATCTCCAAAAAATTAAATAAATTTTTTTTATGAAGGATAATTTTCTTCTAGATTTTATTGTAGAAACAAAATCACAAAATAATTTTATATCACATAAGTATCAAAGCAATTCAATAATAGAACTTGAAAAGAGACAAAATAAAAAAAAACAAAAATTCACTTCTCTTCTTGTCTATAAACATATTTAACTGCATTATGAAATATTAATGATACAAGAAAATGTGCGGATTCTATTAAGCGTATTTGTTCATTTACTGATCTTGATTCAATTATATTATTTAAATTGTCATTTAAATCACTACTAAATTGTTCACATGTATATCCTTTTTGATAATAATACCATTTATCTGTTTCTAAATTTTTTACGAAAACAATACAATGTTGATTTAGTTCACATATAACAGCTTCAAGTTGATAACGTGGTGAACGAGGAAGAATTGCATGAATATTAAGTACTCCTGATGGAATTACATATGAATCAGGATCATTACAAATTTTTGATATTATTATTGGTAAAATAACAGGTGCTGGTCGTCGTAAATGAATTGTATCTAAATCTTGATGATCATCAATTATTTTTTGAATAGTTAATGATCCAACTGGAGCATATAATTCTAATGCATCAAAATATTCTCCTGTATCAAAACATACCGCATGTCTATATGTTTGTACATCTAAATAATCTCGACAACGAGATTCCATGTAACCAGTTTTAGCTTCATTTATGATGCACTTAAGAAAATCATCTTTATCATCGTGCGCCATAGAATCTAAATGAGAATATCAAAATAAAATACCTTGAAGCAATAATATATTAAATACTAGTTGTCATAAATTATTGATGACGTAAGTGTAGTTATGAATATTTTGATGATGAATTTGATAACTTCTCAAATTATTTCTTATCTAAAAAAAAAGAAAAATAATTGAGGTTAAAATAAAAAGTTTTCTTTTTTGTTTTAATAAAGGCAAACACTGTATTATAACAAGTAAAAAAATATTTAATTCATACATTACACAAAATAAAATAGAAAAAAATACTGAAAGAACTTTTAAATTCACTCAAAACATCACATGATCATTGAAATAAAATTATCAATTAAACCAAACAATCGAAAAAATTGAATTTCTTAATTATATAAAACTGGCGAAACAAAAAAACTAACATTTGATGATCACATTCATTGATTATCATCAAAAATTTACTAATTCTCATGATTACTTTTCTGTACGAGATATATATATGTAATAGGATGATAACATAAAGAAGATAAAGGAAGAACTAATTCAGATGGATGAATAAACTTTCGATGATTATTTTCTGTTAAAATTGATTCAAGTTTATGTTGTTCTTCATTCGATAATATATTTGAAAATGATCGTGATGGTTTTATGAGATCATTATAAAAAATATACCAATGATTTGTTAGAGAATGTTTATAAAACATTAATTTGTTATTTATTTTATCTGACTCACATAAAATAGCAATTAATTTTCCGTGAAAAAATTTTTTTATATTTTTATCAAAAAATTTTTCAAATGAAATAATTGAATTAGGTAAAAATAAACTTTTGTTGTTGGCTTCTGTTCGAATAAGTAAACATTCAGGTTGATTAAGAAGAGGTAGTTTATTGTTTACAAAACAATTCTGATCGATTGCCATTTGTACAGTTAAATAACATGATATATCTGAACGTAATGTTAAAAATATTTCTTTATGATTATCACTAAATATTAACCATTTCTTTCGAAACCATACTGTATAAAATTCAGTATAAACAGCAGATAAAAATGAAGTGAACAGACGTGGTACTGTTACTTGAGAATTTTCATTTGATTTCGATGAAGACGAAGAAGAAAAAGAAGGCATTGTTTTCGGAATATTTAATGCATACTCAGACGATGAGACTTTATTTCTTTGAATTGGTAAACTTGAATTAGGATTTTTATTTACTAGTGGAATAAAATAAAGATAAAAATAACTATTAGCTTTTAATTATGAATATATAGTTATGTCAAAAAATATCTTGAATAGTCCTGTGCATAGTGGACAACAACGTATTGACATTTGGTGAAAAAATAAAAGTGATATTTTTTGTGATTTGAATAATGTTCAATATAACGGGTTATCGAAAGTTTTTTTGACAAAATGTTTATCCTCTTTTGACCCTCTTGAAAGTATTTTAGACGAGTGAAAAACTGGAGATTGAGACCGAGATTTTGCGCCTCTTCCGAATATGGACTCAGAAATTGTGTACTTGTTTTTGTCCTAGAGTAGTGAGGAAATCTTTGAACATTCTACAAAGTTGGTGGGAGTGGCGAACAACAGACATTTGCGACTCCCGTAAATCTCTTTGCAAAGATGTTAAAAATAGTTCGATTTGGTGCTCTTGTAGAGTGAACAATTGTTTATAAAATATTATGTCGAACTAAAATGCAAATTTTACACAAGTGAAACTATAACCATTTTTGCAAGAGCTACTTTTACCTAAATCGGATTTTGATCAAAAAATCCATTTTTTAATATTGCATTTGATAGAAAAATAAGAATTTAGGTGTTTTATCAGAACACAGAAATAAACTCAAATACCACATTTTCTAGAGCAAATTTTGCTCTCAAAAACTCATACGTGAAGAAAAGTTTCACCATGTAGCTTTGAATATCAATAGTGAAGATACAAAAATGTACGAAAAAATTTTCCGTCCAAACTATCTTTTTTAGATCTTTCAAAGATTTCCTCGCTACTCTTGGACAAAAACAGATACACAATTTCTGAGCCTACATTCGGAAGAGGCACACCATTCTGATTCCAGCCACTAGTTTTTCACTCGCCCAGAATATTTTCAAGAGTGTCAAAAATGAGCAAACATTTGGTCAAAAAACTTTTCGATGCCCTGTTATTATGGTCCATGACCGAGTTTTTAAATTAAAAACAAAATATTCTAGTTTTTTTTTACGAAATTCACTTTCTTCCATCAATCTTTTATTGAGTACTGAAAATTAATATTTCTATAGAGAACAATGCGTTTTTAACAGAAAATAAATCGCGTCTACGTGCTTGATAGAAATTTGCTCATTTTGATGTGATCAATACCATGATATGGCAGTTAGATTCAAAACGAATATACAGACACTAATTGATAAAGAATGAGAAAAAGTTTATTAGATCGCTTAGATCTAAAAAATTTGAAAGTTTCTTTTTCTATTGGTTTTTTAATTGAAGGATTCTGTATTTTATCGAAACTCTCGATTTATTGTGTTATAGATTTGTTAATTCAAAGAGAAGACTAAATATTACCGTAAACTACTTACCATATATTAGAGCATTCGAATGATGAAAGCACTAGAAATTTGTTTTCAAAACTTTTTTGATAATTTCAAATGTATTATAATGAACTGTCATGTACGATAAATAAAAATCAACTAATTCTAAAGTAGAAAGGAAATGTCAGAAAGTTTCTGAAATCTCTACGAGTTTTATTACATGTTTCAGAATTAATCATTTTTGTTTCGCACATACTACAATTATTATTCGAAATGGGTATGAAGTCTTATCTTTGTAATCCTTTTTTACTATATAAATCAAAATGATACCTGAAGAACTATTTGTTGGTACATTATTATCATATTCTTGTACAAGTCCTTCAAATCCAATAGGGATTCGTGTTAGTTGATCTTGTACACCTTCAAATCCAATATGAGTTGACCTTGAAGCCATTATGATTTTTTAATCTGAAGACAACAAAAATAAATAAATTTATAGTAGCTCTCTTTTTTCGACAAACATCGCGACATTTGACTGAGAAGATGAGAAAAATAAATAGGAACACCAAACTTGCAAGAAAAAGCTAAATAAAAATATAGAGAACAACAATTGCATTACAGACAAAAACAAACAAATAAAAATAACACATATGTATATATTATGGAGACAATATCAATAGGAAAAATAATGACAACAACCAAAAAATGAAATATTAATCTGTTCTCATTTCCTTATTCTTTTTAATTTAAATAATGTTGAACTATATGATATATATCATAAATAATAGCAGAGACAAAATAAATTGGAATGATCCATTGAAAAGGAATAAACCATCGTGGTAATTGAAAAGGTAATATATAACGCCTAGACAAAAAGTTTCAATAAAATCTTTGTGCTTTTTTGTGCTGAAGATTTAATGTTTCTTACCGATAATCTGCCGCCGAAACTTTATAAATCATTATTGCAAGAAATATACCCATTTCAATATTTTGAAAAAGACTTCCAGCTTGTTCAAGAATACTTTTAAAACCCTAAAATAATTATAAATTAATAATTACAACTTTCTATTGTTTCTTCGTTTTTTTTTTTACAAACCTTCGGATTACTCATTGCAATACCAAATACAATTGAGAAAATAATTAAAGAAAAAATCCATTGTATAATTCTAGAAAAATTCAGTAAATTATCATTTCAATAAAAATAATTTCATAATTTAACGGATGGGCCGAAAGTTTTGAGACAATATGTTTGTTTATTTTTGACTAATTTGAAAGTATTTCCGAAGAGTCGAAAGTTACCGATTATGACTAACAATGAGCGAAACCAATTGTTTTTGGTTCTGGTTTCGAGCTTTGTTATATGTGTACTAACGAAAAATATGATATTTATCTTTAGCAGTGTCAATGAGTTCGAGAAACCTTGTACGATTCGCATGACTTCTAATATCTTTTCTTTAGGCAATTTATTACCTTTTTTAATTTACTAATACTTCGTCTATTCTACATGTTGATGTGTTCGATAGTTCTGTTGTTTAAGAGGAAAAAAGGATTGATTTTACTATCAAAATTGCAAGTGACTGTCAGTTAATAATTTTCGCATCAACTTCTAGAACACATGAGTCATGAGAATATGACATTCAATGCAAGTTTTACGCGACCATAAAACGATATCACTCCCAATGAAAAAGCGTTAGTGCTGGTTGCAGTCCGGCTGAGACCGAGATTGAAACCATCTAGTCTATATCTAGTTATGACCAGAATTTTGTGTTCTTTCCGAATATAGGTTTAGGAAATTCCTTCAGATCAATCAGAAGACCTTTTTAAAGGCCCAAAAATAGTTCGAGCGGAAAATTTTTCGGCACACTTTTGTACTTTCATTATTTCAATTCGAAAGTATATGTTGACACTTTTATTAATATGTCATCTTGTAGAGCAGAAGGCACTCTAAAAAATGTACTATTGAAGATTGTTTTTGTTTGTCTACAGATCAATTCAATTTTCGCTTCTCATAAATTCTTCTTTTTGATCAGAAAACATTTTGTACATAGAAGAGCTGTGAACAAAATGTCCATAGTTTCACTTAGATAAAAGCTACAGTTTAGTTCAATATAATATTTTGTAAAGAAGTATCTACTCAACAAAACAATCGATTTCAATATTTTTTTTGTACCTTCGAAAAGGAACTTAAAGGAGTTAGCAATAGACTATTGATTCGCCGTTCCATCAAATTTTTTGAGTTTTTACAAAAAAAGATTCTTCCTTAGTCGCGAACAAAAATTGAAATAAAATTTTTAACCCCACATAAACAAATATTTTGCCTGAAAACTTTTGGTTCACTTATTATAACTTACCGTCGAACAGTAATATATTGAAAAACAGTTCCATATTTTGTTAAACTTGTTTCTACTTCTAAAGTTGGATTCCAAAATGAATCCACAACACCTTTGACTAGAAAGAAATAATTTATAACATACATATAAAGAAAATATTCATCTTACTTGTATGATGTAACGCTGAACCCATCGTCATAAATGAAACCGAAATACTTATTACAATAAATACTTGAACAATAAATGAAACATATTGAAAAAATTTATAATTTTCAGTTTCAAGAATCTAATTAAAAATAGAATAATTTTTTTCAAGCTCTGTTTTATACAACTAACTTTGCTTAAGGGTACTGTTGAAATTTCTCCATTTAATTCCGCTCTTCAAAAAAAAAAACAAAGAATTAAAATAGAAGATAATTTTTTAAATTAAATCTACGCTTTTAAAGATGGCGAATAAATACAATGACCTCGAATTTGTGATTCATTTAAAAGATTAAACGCCATTTTAATTGACTCATTCAGATCACTTGATAAACATGTACTATGTTGCGGAACAATGGCTAATATTGACCAACACCTATCGAAAAAATAGATAAATTAAAAATGAATTGTTTAAGAGAATTAGCAAAACAAAAATCAACGATCAAATAGATTTCAATTATTTCTTTTTATTACATGCAATTTGTGACATGCTCAGAAAAGTCAAAATAATATAAATCTATGTAAAGAAAGCATTTTAATGAAATTGTTGTTTACTTTTTTTAAAAACCTGTTGTTGAAGTAATATAAAGAATATTGTTAAATCGGTCGGATTAAAAAATGCTGATTCTAAAGTTTTTAGTCGATATAAATCAGCATTTCATTGTTCTATAGATATAAAGATTTCTATAATTTGTTTTTTTTTTTTATTAAGGAGAAATATCAAATTTATTGCAAAGTATCGCTTGATTATTAGGTCATGCGCATGTTTGTTAGAATTTGATCAAAAGTAAATTTAAATGATACTATCTCAGTTGTATCAATTAGGTAAAGAAAAATTATTTGAATATGGAAACAAAAATAAGAAAAACAAAACATAAATAAAACTTTTTGATAATAGTATTGATCTAATGAAAATTTTCTCAATTGAACATTATTTTATCTCATCGAATATCATGGACTTCTATTATATCATACCAAAGAATATTTAAAATAACACATGTTGTCAAGCCAAGAAATAAAGCTACATTGAAGCCAATAATCTAAGCACAAAGAAAAAGGCATCAAGCAGGTTTTGCAAAAACAAATATTTAATTTACCTCATCTCTTGTCTGCTTCAATTTCGAAAACATTAATGGCATCACATTCATCAAACCACCTAAATTAAAATCTATTTATCAAATTAAACAAAATTTTTGTATCTTACCTAATGCAATTGTGCTCATTAGAAATGAATCTCCAATAGCTTTATAATCATTTGTTACTGGAGTTTGTACCTTCAATCCAACTAATAATGTTACAACGACCTTCAAAAAAAATAAATAATAACATGAAATATATAATAAAGATTATTTACCGTTCCAGTAAAAAGTGTGCCTTTAAGAAAAGTTAATACCGATATAATCGGTTGAATAAATGAATGAAGAAAAATAATGACAAATGTCCATGTCCAACAAAAAACCGGAATCATTTTAATATAACTAAAATTAATTTGAAATATTTCATTTATTTATCATTCATATAACTTACTTGACATGAAATAAAGTTGTAAATGCTTGACTACCAGCTAGTGCATAGCTCACCAATAAGCATAATCTAATAATAAAATCTTTTTCTTTTCAAGATATTAATATAAAAAAAACCGACTAATACATACAAGCTCAAAAGTACCGTCAATGTAAATAATTGTCGAAGAAAACATGGTAATAAGAGCTCTCCAAGTGAATGAAGATTTGGTAAACATCGCTTGATTGTATCCACTTTATTGACTATAGAAAAAAATTAAATTTATCGATATATTTGAAATGAAAACAAAAGATATAAAAAGAAATCATTCATGCAGCAAGATAAACAAACGAAATGCATACACTTTCCGGAATAATATTTAGTAGTAGTAGTTATATCGTGATCATCATCGTCGTCTAGCATTAGTGGTACACTAGATTCAACATCGCCTGTGAGAGGACAATAAGCAATATATATATAAACATGTATTTACGCATAGAAAATACAGAAACACAGACACACAAAAAGAAGAGAACATGAAAAATAAAAACAAAAATCACCTCTCGAAGGAACAACCATATCTCGTAATTCAACAAATTCACCGTATTCTAAATATAAATTAAAAAAAAAAAATGTCCTTCGTTGTTTTATTCAATTTGATTTGTTGGAATTTTAATAAAATTTTCTCGATATGAACTCAAACGTGTACCAATACGTTGTTGAAGATCAGGATTTTTCTTCGATTTAAAACTTTTCTTTATAAAATTAAATTTCATTTCTGTGAAAAATAAAAATGTTAAAGATTCACACCATGGTAATATTGTTAAATAAGTAAAAAATATTCGAAAGTTAATATTTAATGTTATATTGAAAGCTTTTATTGTTAGTGCAGGAAATATAGCTATTATATTGCTTAGAACAAATAATAATACGAATAAAAGACGTTTTAAACTTCGATTAACCAAATTTGAACGTTCATTTCCTTCAAATTTTGTTAATACAAGTGTATAAAAAAAGATTGTTGCTAAACATTTACGTTTTAATTTAGATATATTTTTATATGATGTATATATCCATGTAAGCGTTAACAAATTAAGTAATATGAAAAATATATAAAGAATTCTTGTTGGTATTAAAGACGTTTCATTATCATAATATTGAAAAAAAAAAACTTTTTGTTTTATTAATTGACATATATTTATAATAAGTGGATTATCTCCACTCATTGTCATATGAATAGAAACAAAAAGACCCGAAAGAAAATAAATAAAAACTATTCCAAATATTAAACAATATTTTGAATATAATGTACTTTTATAATTTATTGTTGAATCCCAGAAATGTGCTGTTTCACCAATGATTATTATAAATAAATCAAATGTTGATAATAATAAAAGAAAATGAATAAAAAATTCGAGAGAAAGACATTTATCATAGATTATTAGACAAAAACAAATTGTAAACGTTGTCATACAACGAATTATGCATGTAAATAAATGATGAAATACATAGAAATTAAAAATAGGGCGTTGTTTTCTCGTCATCTTTCGACGAAAATTTGTTATTACATTACACAGTCCCGCTATTAATTGAGTAGTTAATATAATTGCCAATGTAAGACTAAGACACATTAATACGTACAAGCATAAACGCGGGACAAGTATTACAGTTACCATGATCTAGACGTTGTTCTTACTGATCAAGTGTCTAATGTGCCGAGATGCTTATACAATTTTTGTGTATTTATACTAGCGAACAAATAGGACAAACTGTAATGGTTAAATGTACATGCGATTAATTTTCTTCCTCTTTCTGATGTTTTATATAATGATGAAGATTATTCCTATTTTTTATTATTATTCTTTATACATTTATGTTGGTATCATCCTTGATCTTGTGTTTCCTACTGAGAAGACTCATTAGGCAAACAGCGATATACAGAAATGTTCTTTTTTTTAGATAGTAACAATAATAATCATTATATCTTTTGATATGTACATTAATTAGAAACAGATGCGACGATAAAGAAAAAAAAACACTAATCTTAAATATTGATCTATTCTTACCCTGTCTTGCTGCCAAATCATAATCTGATCCGTATGTAGGTAATTCATCTTTTTCCATATGAATCGGTGCATTATCTTTGTCACTCTGTTTACAATAAAACAAAAACAATAATTTAATTGGTGAATTTTGACTTACTTGTTGTAAATTTTCAACGTTTCGATAATAAGCCTTTTGTAAAACTTCCGTGAAGAAAAAAATTGTCAATACCTTTAATCAAAGAAATATGTAAGAGAAAAAATAAAGGATCGACTCGTATTTTTTTACTTGAACAAAGTAACAGATCAAAAATGAGATAATAAATGGTCGAAATCCACTTTCAGATAATGTCACCGGAAGACCAAGGATACCTGTACCAAGTATCGATGCAATTGCAATGAAATCTATTTCATTATAACAAAAAAAATATATATTTAATTAAAAGTAAATCTTCAGAAAGAAAAAACTTACAAAACTGTGAATAATGAGAAATAATTTTGTAAAGAGATTGGCCGAAAGTCATAGTTTGTTTTTTAATCTAAAATGAAAATAAGGTTTGTACAATCGAAAACAAAAGTTAAGAAACTTTACCTTTGTCCTTTGCCTAATAGAAATGGAACTTAATATTCAAAATGGAATTGTTCCAGCTGATGATAGTTGTCAACCAGAGCATGAATTGTCGAATAGACACAAATGTAGAGGACAATAAATTGAACTAAAAGATAGATGCTGTAAAGAAAACATAATATAAACAGGTATTAAATACATAAAAGTTGTTGACAAAGAAAATAACAAAAGCAAAAATTTTCAAAGAAGCTCAAAGAAAATTGCACTAAAAAAGTTTTCATAAATATCCTCAAGCTTATCAAGCAAATCCAGGAAAACACTCCCACGCATACCTAATGTTTCTATTGTTAAAGTTTTTAGTGACAGATTAGTTTCGTTCTATGAACCAATCATAAGCGAGAAATCCTATTCATTGTTGGTTGGTTAGTTTTTAGGTCAATTGCAATGTATTTACAACAGTAGTTGTTTATCATACTATTTTTAAGTCTAAACAAAAATCATGATTTTCCGTCTGTTACGTTCTTTGCCGTAAATAATGCTAGTGTTGGTGTTTTTTGCTATGATTTTGCTGAATTCAATTAATACGTTTTCTTTTCTTGCTGCTACAATTGAAGTATAAATTTATATAATATTCGTTTAGCAGATGTTCCACTGTATAAAGGTATTCGACCTTCCATCAATAAAAAACACCAGCTTCAATGTTATCATATATTAACAGTGGAACACCTCCTAAACTAATACCACTTGATTTATATATATATATATTTCTTGTCTTTTTTTTTCTAGTAGCCTAGTTCAAGTATCATGTCGGCATTTGAAAATTTATTCTCCATCAAATAAAACTCAACTTGAACATCTTCTTCAATCATGGTCATCAAAAATACCCGTTGAACGTGCTTTGACACTTCCATCTGGTTTTTATACATCTCGAGATGTATTTGAACTTGAAAGATATGCTATATTTGGTCAAAATTGGTTATTAGCAGGACGAAAATCTCAATTAAAAAAGCCAGGAGATTTTCTAACAGATCGTTTTCTTTCAGAACCATATATAATAAATATTGATAAATCATCAACATTATTTGCACATTATAATGTTTGTTGTCATCATGGTATGTCTCTATTAAACGATAGTCAAGGTCATATTGCAACAAATGAAATAACTTGTCCATATCATGGTTGGATTTATGATTTTAATGGACGATTAAAAAAAGCATTTCGTTTAAAAACTATTGAACAATTTAAAGCATCAACTGTTCGTCTAAAACCTATATTAATTCAAACAATTGGTCCATTTATTTATTTAAATTTTAATTTTTTAAATAATGATAATATTAAAAGTGATCTATCACATATTGAACATATTGATAAAAAATATTTAAAAGCCACAAATTATGAACAATTAGAATATGTTACTAGAAAAAGTTATCATATAAAATGTAATTGGAAAATATTTGTTGATAATTATCTTGATGGTGGTTATCATGTACCTTATGCTCATAAACAATTATGTTCTATTTTAAATATGAATGAATATAAAACAGTTGTCGATTATCCAAAAACATCGGTACAATATTGTACTGGTATGGAACGAACAGAAGGTGATGTTGTTTTCATATATATATATCCTAATTTAATGATAAATCGATATGGACCATATATGGATACAAATTTAGTTGTACCTATTGATGAACGTAATTGTATTGTTCATATGGATTATTATTATTGTCCTCAATCAACAACTAAAACTGCTGAAAACGATTCACAAAAAGATTCAAATGTTGTACAACAAGAAGATATTTCTTTATGTGAAAATGTTCAACTTGGTCTTGAATCTCAAGCATATGATTCAGGTCGTTACGTTCCAACTGTTGAACATGCAATGCATGATTTTCATAAAACATTATTTAATCAATTGGAAAATTATTATAACAATCATGTCAAATAATAAATATTTTAGTTTTTATTACTTATTAATTATTATTTACAATATGGATAATTTTATTTTAATTTAAAAACTAATAATTTCAATTAATCCAAAAAATAGAAAAAACGAAAATGATATATATTTTCCTGATACAAGTTTTTATTGAATGAAACAGTTACAGAAATTCCCGTTTTTTTATATTGATTATTTTCTATTGAAGCCAAAAAAAGATGATCAATCGATTTTCTCGTTTTCTATTTAAATAGAAGAAAGTATTCATATGCTTCAGTATCTTTTACTTTTTGATCAACATTTTATGGATTTTGCGTCTGCTTGATTTTATAAGCATGAATATAATTCGTAAGTATTTAAGAAAACAATCATAATATTAACCTACAAATCTCAAACGCATACAAAACAATCATAAAATCACAATTGAAAATTTGCTTTACTCTTAAATACTCTTCTGGTTTAAATCTTATCGTTTTCTTTTTATAATTTGTCATTATTTATCAAACATAGAAGTCATGTTACTAGGGAATACTCACAACGTAAATAAGTACGTCTATTCTTTTGAATGTCAAAGTAAGATAACCTTTTTACAGCGAAACTTTTTATTTATATCAATGATATTTAATTGTCTTCATTCTGTTTTGAAATGAGTTCGATAATTTTCTTGTAGGTATATTAGTTCGCTTGCTTAGACTATAGTGGACAACAGCGTTGACATTAGATGAAAAAAATGAAAGTGAACTTTTTCGAGATTTGAATAGTATTTTATATACATTGATTAACGACCAAGTATTTTGAGAAGAAAAACTTGTTTCAACTGCTTAATTCATTGGAAAAGCTTAATCGAAAATTCAGTATCTTTAGAGAAAAACATCCCTTTTTTCAACAATAAAAACACTTGAACAATAAATTATATAGTCTGAAACTAGGACGTTCACTATATCGATCTATAGAAAAAATTTTCGTTCTGCAGAAATAACTATTCTTTTTATGTTAAGCATTTTCTAAAAAGGTGTCTTTACTAAAGTTAATCGCCACTTTTCCGCGCTAGTTCGACATCGATGAAACTGTGAGAGAATATATTTCTATATCTGGAACATAAGCTCACTTAGTGCAAATGGTTGCAGACTGAGATATAGATTTTCTAAGAAACCTAGTTTTTTAAAGATTTCTCACGATTTCTTTGTCACAGAAGCACTTTGAAAGGAAAACAAAGACATATTTGAAATCAGCGTAAAAACCTATATCGAATGATATACCATATGCCAATTTTTTAAATAAAAAGTTTTTTCACAGAAGTTTAGGGTAAGGGTCTTCCTCCAGGATTTACTATAATAATTGGTTTTTTTGTTTGATAAATCTGATTTTTTAGTACAAGAAGCTAATATTTCTACTAAAAAAAAATCGCTTGTGGCAGAAAATGAGTCATATGTACGTGCTTGATAGACTCTGTTAAATCAAATCTAATATTTAAACTTAATGAAAGACTCACGAATAAAAATTATATCATTGTTGTTATATTATTAACTATTATCTTCTTTTAGATATAATTTAACACAAAAGAAAACGAATTAATATTGATTCTGAATGCTTCAAAGACGAACTTAAAATACAACGACAATGAGAAAATTCAAACGAGTTATTCATAAACAATTTGGTGGTATGGGAAATTTTTTTGCAATGATTGTTCTAGTCTCAATTACTGTGATTTTTATAAATACATATGTTCTTTCAAAACGAAATCGTATGTTTAAAATTTCTGTATTTTCTTTGTTTTTTGTTAAAATGATTTTTTTCTAGTATCCGATAACGTATCAGATAAAAAATTCCGTACAGGTGAACAAGTATATAATCAAAACCAAACAGACGAACATCCTACTTTACAGCCAGAAAACAGACAAACAAAACGATTATCAGTTCCAGATGTTGGTTAGAGAAAAAATATCTTATAAATTAGATATTATCTCAGAAAAAAATTTCTTTCTTTTTTAGGCTGTGAAATTGATCAAACATGTTCATATGATTCTATTCCATATAAAGTTACATCAGGAGCTGGAACTGAGAAATATCCAATTATATGTTTTAATAATAAGTTGTATGTATTATTATAAATATATATAAATTTTAGATTATTTAAATTTTTGTTTCATTTAGATTGGTTCATAAAAATTTAAAAGATTCAAAAATTAGTCGTGGATCTAATATAGTAGTAATTGATAGTAAAACCTATGATGTTAAATCAGTAGAAACGTTTGATACATATCTAGAAGGTAAAGTTAATGCATATATTTATGATAAAAGAAAAGTTTCAAAATTTCCATTTTGTTATTTTAGAAAATTTCTTTTTAAGAACTCTAAAATTAAAGTTAAATGATGGTGATATTCTGATTTTAGCTAGTTTTGATGAAATGACATATGGGTAAGTTAGAGAAGAATTTTATTGTTTATTCTTTGTTTTTTCTTATATATTGTTTTCTAGATTGAGAGATGCATCATTATCATTGCTAGAAAACTATGGTAGTCAATTAATAAAAAAGGTTAAATATCGAGATTCATTTGTTATGATTGGTCAAAAAGGATTAGCACGTGGAAAAGCTATTGAAATGGTAAGTTAATTTTTTTTCGTCATGACATTAGAAAATGATCTGTAAAAACTAATTGTTAAGTTCAAGGGAAGATAAAATTTAAGATATTGCGAGTCAGGATCCAAAGTTAAATTCATTGTCGGTTTCGAATTCATAAAATCGTAGATCCGCAGCTTCCTATTTCCTTAATTTCGTTTGCATAATGGTGTACGCAATAGGTGCTGGATTATTGTTGGAGAAAATTCAGGCCTGGATCTGTCAGGTAAAGTTCGGCGATTCCAAAAATAATTCGGAACCGGAATCACAGTTCCGATTAATAAAAATAAGAAAAAAAAGTAGTTCCGGTTCAATTTCTTAAACATCACGTGAAACCAGTATCGTTAAATAATGAAATAAATATGAAAGTTTTAAATATATTGTGAGAAATTTTCACTATCGGGTTGTTAATTATTAAAGGTGCCACATATGTCAGTACTTAAACAAACCAATATGATACATATATACTGAAATCTTTAATCCTTAAAATGAAAAAAATGAAAATTTCTCCTCATGGAGTTAAGAACTTATCTATCTATCTGATGATTTAACGGCTTCGGTTCAAAGAAATTCAAAAAAGTTGGTCCAAGTTCGACTCTCGGTTCCAGTGTCCTTTTTTTGGAATCTCTGAACTCTACTGTCGAGTCTGAGTTCACAGAAAAATGTGGATCTACAGCTCCGTAATGGAATGGCGGATTACAAAGTGAAACCAATCAAGTCAGAGTTAGTAAGAATTAGTCTAATTTTTCTATTGAATAGTATGTCTTTTTACTAATTATTAACAAAACCATTGTTGCAAAAGGTATTCACGAAAAAAATTAGCTTTAGTTTTTTTATCGAATGAGATGGGAGTTATCGTGAGAATGATATCAAATGCATTAGAATTTGTAAGTTATAAATAAACGACAGAAACTTTGGCTTAATTTGAATAAGTTATTCGTAAAAAAATCCATCGTCAGACGAAAAAGAACTTTAAAAACTTCATTCTTCAAGTCAATGATGTCTTTAGTTCATTGAAAGGATTATATAATTTTTTTTAATTTAGCATCAATCAAAAGGTAAACGTGACTTTGGTTCAGTTGCACAGATTAGTGGTTGTGCTAAATTTCCTTGTATGTTTATTCATTTATTTCGTTTGTTTTCTTCTAAATAATGTTTTTATTTTAATGATTAAGTGGGTCGAATAACTCCATTGTTATTTCCAACTATGGAAGTTAATAGAGAAGGAAAAATTGCTATTGGTAAAACTGTCAATAACTGTGGTTTAATCGATACATGTACAGAAAATGAGTTTCCTGTACATGTTTATACAGGAAAAGATAATAATGATGAACCAAAAATATGTGTTGATGGTAAATATGTTATTTCAAAAGGTATTAATGATGCTGGTCGTGGTTTAAATATTGTTGTTGTTTCAAATGGGAAAGAAGTTATTCGAACAGGACATTTTGATACATGGAAAGATGGTAATCGAATTTGAGAAGAAATTTATATTTTATATGTTTTTTATTCTTATTTTAAGATAGTACAAATTTAGAAATTTTCCTTGAAAATCTTGAAGATGATGTTATTATTATTGCCGTTACATTTGATGAAGCATCATCGAAGTAAATAGTTCAATTAATTTTTCTACATAGGCGTCTTCTAATATGCATGATAAAGAATGACATTTGTGAATTTGTTGTGCAATGTATGTGTTTATTTAACTTAGGAAATATTATCTATTTCAAAACGAATATTTATTATAATTTTCAAGATATGATCATAAAATAGGTTTTTTCTTGATTTTTCATGCTAATATTTTGTTTTAATAAGCAAGATGAGTGGGCAAAATTTTATTTTTGTTTTAGAAGAAAAAAGAAAGACAGCTTATTGTTGTCACAGTTATAAACGTGTTTATGTTTTTCTCTATCTTTAGGCTTAGTCAGCACAGTAAAACTCTTTTTTTTGATCTTGGAAGTGCAACCATACAAAATTTGAAATATCGTGATGTTTGGGTACTTGTGGGACAAAAGGGCATTAAAGGTTTTAGCCCTTATGAAGAGGTTTGTTTATCGACATTTTAATGACTGTTGTATAAATATGGATATTGCTTTTATTGTAATGAATATATTAGAAATAGTCAGCATATGATTATATAATGCATGTAAAAGAGAAAGTAGAATTCTTCCCCTATGATTCACTTATATTCTTCATGCTTGTTCTTAGTGATTTACTGCTTCATCTATTTTTGTTTTATTTTAATTCTGTACACATGTATGTATATGTATTTAGATTTCATATGCCGGAGTGGGAAGTACTCATGCACCTCCAATTGACAAACGAATGTGTATACCACAAACATGTGAGTGAAAAATAAAGTTTTAAAAATAAGTTTTATTTTTTTTTCTCGAGGAAAAAAGGAAGATGATGATTCATTCATTTGAATACTATCTAAATGGAAGATCGGTTATAAACAGATTATAATTATATAGAGAGCAATGCTTAAGAAGATTTTTCCTCCTTTCCACCAGTTTTAGAGAATGGTTCATCAGAGAGAAAGATTGAAAATCTTAGGTTAGGATAGGTCTCGACGAGAAGAGGAAAAGTAGTCATTGATTCAAAATTCTGAAAAGTTTCCTTCTAGGAGATGTTTGGGTCACAAAAGCTCATAGTCGTCCTGCTTTCTCAGCTGCGATACGAATTGAAATTTTGCTTACACATGTTAGAGATTGTTTCGAGAGTATGACATTTTTGGTTTCTTTTTATTATCTTTTATTCGAAAAAAAGAGGTCAAAATACTGTGCGTATCTTCAAAAATACATCCTATTTTTGTAAACACTGAAAAAAACTAGCGATACATCATATTTAAAAAACAATCCAAGGCGATCTAAAAACTTTCTCGTCTACGTACAATAAAGTTTCAATTCGATCTGTTGTATTTTGTGATTGAGAAATGGCAGCTATTCTCAACTTTTCTTGTTGTCGAAAAACTCATTTTTCAAAAGCAACAAAATAATGTAACAATTCTGATGTTTTTCGAATTTTATACTTGTAAATTAATTCTTTAAATGTATCAATTAGATAGAAGCTACTACAAAGCATATAAAGAGCAGAAAAAAGATCAAAATGAAAAATCGAAAAAAAATTTGTTTGGGAATGAAGTGTAGTGTCCTGCAATCAAATCAGATACTCGGATTCGATCTAGCAATTAATGAGATCGTGAAGTTTCAAAATATTTTTACTTTTTCAAACTGCTAATTTATATAAAAGCATAAGAGTGAAAACCTGAGCAATTTATTGTGCTTGAAAACAGATCACAGAAGTAGAGAGTGATATTGTTTTACTAAAAGAATTCGATTTTTAATGAAAATTTATCTACATATGATGATAAATCATATGAAGAAAAGTAACTGAATATATGGAGGGAAAAATGAATGACAAAACGGTGCACATGAATGAACGTGATGGAAAAAGCGCTCATATATGTATCCACAATTATGACGATTGGCCATGAACACTGGCTTCATCTCATCGTCATGAGCAACAAGCAAACAACTACGTAACAAAATTTATCCGATTTTAGAAGTAGTGTAACACCAAATGAATCCAGATTCACTGGCATTTTTATGAATTTCGAGATGATCTCTTCTTTTTTCTATTGCTGTTTATGGATGAAACTAAACAGTATACTTTTTTTATATAAAATAAAAGTTTGAAAACTCTACTATGATTGTCAAAGTATCTGCCGGATATGGATTAGTATCAATTCGAGTCTCGTTGAAAAAGTCGTACCGATGCAGAACACTAATAATAGAGCGAGGATCCTCTTTAATATTTAAAACATTCAGTCAATTCTTGTACAGTTATCATTAACTGTGAATCTTAAATTTTTAGTAAAAGGTGTTCCAATTCGACCTGATCCATTACCTTACCAAAATAATAAGCGAAGAGATTTTTGTTCACGTTATGATGGTTATGGAGATTTTTGTAGTGGTAAATATACCGTTGTTCACTGATTTTCATTTTAAAATAAATTATTCTTGTTTTTTTTTTAAGATACAAATATTGACAAAAATTTATTCACAATTCCATTAATAAATAAAACATTAGAAGACAATCCAATTTATTCAACACCAATTTTAATTATTGCTGGTTCGTTTTTATTTGATTTTAACTTATAAAATAGAATATTTGCTTTGTTAAAGGTATTTCACATAATTCTCTTCGAATGTGTTTGGAAACTTTATTGATGCAACCAGGAATTAATATTGAAAATGTTATTGTATATATTGAAATCTTCTCTGTTTATATTTAAGAAGAATTTTATTGAATTTTTTTGTTTAGGTAGCTGTTGATGAAAAATTTTCTGAACCACTTGCATTAGTTGATTTATTTGGATTTCGTGGTGAAAAAACATCGAATAGTTCGGCATACATGGGTAAGATAAAATATTTATTATAAAGAAAAAAAGTGAATATATGATATTTTAGGACATTATGAAAAAGCCTTAAAAAGAATTTGGGAAATTTATTCGAATAAAGTAAAATAAAATCAAAATTATTTAATTTTATAGAAACAAAAATAAAGAAGAATTTGATTTAGGATAAAATAATTGTTATTGAAGAAGATCTTATTTTATCACCAGATTTTCTTTATACACTTGCATTGTTAAGTGAAACATTTCGAAAAGATGAAACAATTGATGCAATTCAAATGTGGAATCCAAATTGTAATATTTTTATCGATAGTTTTTGTTTTAAATTAATTTTGATCTTTTTGTTCTTTTTTTGTACACTTAGCTTATGATAGTATTAATGGTTCAATCGAATTAATTTATCGTGTTGATCAATTTTATGGTTTAGGTTATTTATTAAGACGTTCATTTTATGAGAAATATATAAAAAATTCATTCAAAGATTGTTGTTCCAAACGGTAGATTAATTTTATTCAAAAAAGAAAATTATTTATATATTTTTTCGTTTAGAGTTTGGGAGAAATGGACATTTTCTGATACATCATCATTTTTAATGCCTGATGTTTCAAGAGTATTTCGACGACCTATAGATGGAAATCGAGTTAATAATATATATCTTGAAACACTTTTTAATCAAAAACGAAAAACATCTTTGTAAGTATTATTGAGAAATAATTAGAAACTATTTTTAAATTGATTTATGTATTATTGATAACATTAATTGTTCAAATAATTTTTGAGAGGAAAAGTAAATAAGAGAAAAACGCATGAGATTTGTTTGATATTGTTGGTTTTGATTTTTATAACATATGTATGAATAATCTTAAAACAGGATTATGCTTTTTGATAATGTTATTCTTTGTATTGTGTACAGTCAGCAGAGTATTGAGGTTTAATGCATATCTTGTGGCTAGGATTTAGTATGAGTAGAAATTTTTTTACGCGGAAATGATTCAACAATTTTTTTAGAGATTCAAATCTGAGCTGATTTGATGATCGTACAATCAGACAAGGTCAAGGGTAATCGACAATCAGCAGATTTTTATAGTCATAGGACGTTTCGAAATGTTTATCGTTAAAAAATATTCACTATAGTTAGATAGATATAAAAACAATATAAAGAAAGAATGATTATAAATTGCACAAGAAAATGAGTAAATTAAGCACCCTCGGAAATTGTAAATTCGATTAGCATTACTCAACATACTTTCCATTTTTGTCAATGACAGTGGTGTCAAAAGTAATACTGAGGATAACCATGAGAATTTTCATGCATATATATATATGTGTGCTTCTTTCATTTATTACAATATAATATCATTTTTTGAATAAACTCTATGTCTCTTCTACTTGATCATTTTTTTAAAGAATTTATTATTGATATCGAAAATAATTTCTTCTTCTATATATGCCAACCGTTTCTCCAGTTTGGCAATTTTGTTAAAATATGACGTAACTAAAGTCCTGAGGAATAGTCTCGAATGTCTCACATGATGAAACATTTTGAAAATAAAATTGCATTTAGAACTTGAAAAAAGTTGTTGTCCTGCAGGACTCTTGATGGAATACTTTTTTTAAAGTAATATCTATCAATAAAAAATACTTTCGAACAATTAAAGTAATCGTAAATTACCAAAATGTACGTAGCTGTCGATTTGCACGATATTAATTGCGTCATTTTCTCAATTTATCATGAAGCAACGTTGTTTGTTATTAAAAAAGATCTGTCCATATATGAATATTTGAATATACAATTTTTAATTAAACTATATATTTGTTATTGCAAATTAGAAATCCATTTCCACCATTATCAAATATTGATATACTTCGAAAAGACAAATATGATGCACAATTAACCAAATCAGCAAATTCTGCAACATTAATCAAATCATTGAAAAAATGTGAGACAATCGATAATAACGTGTACAATTTAATAGAAAATCAAAATACGTATGGAAAAAAAAAATTTTTATTGTTATTTTGAAAATATTCATTTATTTATTGTTTTAATAGATCTGATACATTTATATATGTTTATCATCAAGGATCATTAAATGATGTAACATCTCTTCTACCAATTTTATCTTGTTTTAAACTTTTTCCACATGAACCACTGGGTCTTTATCATGGTATACTTCGTTTCAGTTCAAATAAATATCATTTTTATCTTGTTGGATCAAAATCACCTCTTTATATAAATGTTTAAAATTCTAGTTAATATATTTTTGTCCTTTCTGAATGAATCTCTCAGTTGTTGTTTTTTTTCATTTTTGCTTATTTTGTTTTTTTTTGTTTTTTTCTATAACATCGATTCTATCTTAAATTAATATCATAGAAAGTAATTATTTGTTTTAATCAATTTTCAAACATCTATAATCTGGAATTTTTAATAATTCAATTTCCCAACCAAATCTAAGTAAATCAATGCCAATCATTTATTACATTCCGTGTGTCGCTTTTCTTTTTCTTTTCTTAATTGATATTTGCAATGATGATGAGAGAATTTTTTTCAATTTATGTGTCCTTTGCTATTGTTTTTATTCATACTTATATAAAACCTTTTGTTATTTCCTTGTCGTTTACTGTTTCTAATTTATCTGTGCACGCGTGAGAATAAACACTGAAAGTATTATTAATAATACAAAAAACATCACTTTGATATATTCATATATATATATATTTATGTTAGCGTCCAAACTGAGTTAACGTCTATTGTCGGATCGGGGAAGACGGTGTCGTTAAAACTTCGATTAGTGTCTCGATAGATGTTGGTAAAATGATGTATTAAAATAATGACATTTCAGATATTACAATCATCAATGAACAAACTGAAATCGAACTCAAAATACTTTTGGATATTTTTTCATAAAAGCTGTTCTCTTATACAAACTTATTCATAATTTCATGAATTCTACTTTAATTTCTCCATCAATAATTGTATCACTGACAATGATCCTGTTTGAACATAGTTCACCAACATCTATCTAGAGATTAGTTGAAGTTTTCATGAAAGCTTTTTCTGTGATCCAACATTGAACGTGTCTAATGTCAGAATCTCAGAGTGGTTTATGAGAGAACTTCTTTAGATGTCCTCTTTCGACTTCAAATGTTTTTAGCTTATCGATACTTCAGATTGTTCTAATGAAAATTCTAAAAGGATTCGAGTTCCTATTGATATTTGACTAAGCTTTCAAATTTTTAGTGTGTCTATTTTCTAGAAACACTATGTTTTTGGAAAAGTCGTATTTTCAAATTTTGATCTGAAATTTTTCACATGTAGAAAACTCAACAAGACTATCTCACATAAAAAGTTCAGAAAGTTTCAACAACGTCTCTTCGATATATGAAGTTTTCAAAAACTATATGTTGTATAGACTGTCCACGGAAAAGAGTTTATATCTTGAAAGCTTCATATCGCGGAAAGACTTTGTTGAAAACTTCTAAATTTTTTTAAGTAAGTTAGTCTAGTTGAGTTCTCTATATACGAAAAATTTTAGATCAAAATTTGAAAGTAAGTGCTCCGAAAAACTGGTGCTTCTAGAAGATATAAGTATTAATAAGTCGATAGTTTAGTCAAATACTCATAGGAACCCAAATCCTCTTTACGGCTTTTATTAGAACATTATGTAGTATATGTAGGCAAACAAAACCGTTGAAATTAGGGAGAAGTGGCTGGAGAGGTTCCCCTGTTAGGCGGATCCGGGATTGGACGCCAACGTAGATATATTTTTACGTGTTATCATGTTTGTTTTTTTTTTATTTTTATATACTGATAAGAAAGTAATTGCACAAGCATGTCATTTCTAAAGTGAATGGCTCCAGTAACACGTCTAAGTTTGAAAAAAGGAAATAGTAATGTGTTCAGTTCAACAGATGAAATCGAAGGTAATGAGAATAAAAAATTGTTAGAAACTAAAAAACAAAAGAATATATCAACAAAAAAAATAAAATTACCTTCTTTACGTGTTCAATTAAGTGCTATGACAGTACGTGTACTTAAGAATATTCTTCGCTTTAATCATCAAAATCCTTTTGGAAATAAACCTGAGCTTCTTTCACGTATTGTTTATATGGCTAAATATGGTGCCTATCCAAAATGTCCAAAATGTATTAAAGGTCGATTAAAACCACGTTTGCATCGTCGAAAAAACCAATCGAAATATTATTGTCCAGGTTTTCCAATTGGTTTTCGTGGTCCTGCTTCATATTATCGATGTGATTATGTAACAGATGAATGCAAAAAAGAAAAATTTCGTTTTGCATCTACATTAAATTTAAAAATAAATAAATAAATATAATGATTGTTTTTTTCTTATTCTAGATAAAATTAAAATAAAAAAAATTCAATCTCAATTATGAATCTTCTACGATTATGTAATCGGTAAAAATTAATTTTTTATTATTTATTTATTTATTTATTTATGCTTTGCGAATAGAATTATCAATCCAACACGATATTCATTAAATCGTCAATTACAAAAATTATCTGTTGCATCTAAAACACCTTCAACATCTCTTTCCGTTGGTCAAGAATTACATGGTTACATCGTTAAAGAGGTAAAATAAAAATCAATAATCATAAATCAAATATTCCTTTTTTTGGTTTCAGATAACACCTATACCAGAATTTCGTTTAACTGCTATTAAACTTCGACATAAATTAACTGGTTGTCAACATTTACATGTTGATCGTGAACATAAAAATAATGTTTGGAGGTGAGAGAAGAAAATTTTATATTTTCTTTAAATTTCTGTTATTTTTTCTTTTTCTTTTGATAGTGTTGCTTTTCAAACAACACCAAACGATGATACAGGTGTTGCACATATCCTTGAACATACAGCACTTTGTGGTTCAGAAAAATTTCCATGTCGTGATCCGTTCTTTAAAATGATTAATCGTAGCATGGCTACATTTATGAATGCTTTTACAGGTATTTCTTTGAAAAAAAACTAACAGTTCTTATTCTTAATTTATAAAGAGTACTCCAAAATTTTTTTTGCCATTTCTTTAGACATCTATCTGACAGTTGATTTTAATGTTTTTTTTAAAGTATTGCTCCTCATGAACAACGCACTTGTATATCCGGTAAAACTAGGTCATGGAAGTCGTTTTTTGAGATCGTGTCTTGTAAGGTCATTTATGACTTGTTTTAACACAGGTAACACAGCATTGGCAATGCTTCATTGCATTCCATGTGGTTGATATTTGAATTTTGAAAGCAGAAAGAAGTAATATAGGTTTAGATCTGACGAGTGTTACTTTGTCATACTCCCACTTTCGACTACTCTATTTTATTATAATGATAAAACTATGATTTATTCTTAGTGATAATATAAAATATCAGGATGAAAATTGGTCTCTCCAAATCTATTCAGTTAATCATGACCCAATCGAATATGAAACTACTTTTAACCAGCAATGAATTGAGAACATACCTATCGGCCACAAAACTTTGTAAAACTTTCAACACACAAATATAATTCAAATAGCTATGATTCCCAACGCGTTCTCTATTCATTTGTATGTCAAATTATTGCTTGATCAGCATTAAAAGTTTCTCCGTTTGCATTTATTGGAGAATCTTCTGAATAGGTTACATCTTCAATGGTGAAAATTAATCTACTGAAATTAACGTAATCAATTGATTAGTATAAGATTTGAAGGTAAAAAGTTTCCTTCCGCTCATATTAAATGGGCACAGCTTTCTTTGTAATTTAAGCTAATTTACTAGTCATATAAGAAACATGCATTAAAAGTATTCTCGTGAGAATTCAAAATGCATGTGGAAAATGCTGTATCAGGGAAAGCAAGAATTGGATGATGTGAAAAATAGTCAAGAAATTTATAACAAAAGAACCAAAGCCTTTTTAAATAAAAATTTCGATCCAGGCGAATAAGCTAAACCAATACAAAAGAAAAAGAGGGAGGATGCTACTAGTAAATTACAAATCACTACAAATGATTACTTGTTTCTCTCATGCACGTAGAATATCAACTAGAATTCCTTTTTAAAGCTAAAACTTTTAGATCCACAGGTTTTCATAAAATTATATCGAGGGTGTCGGTGTGGGTACGGAGGGTTGCAAGAAGACCTACACTAAGATCCATACTTATGCTTGAGATTTTTACTCTTTCTGCCACTTTAAAGTAGATGTCCTGAGAAATGATCAACGTCCATTTTACTTTTGCATGATATCACTACAAAAATTAGAAAGACTATAGATAATTTATGAAGTGATATTCTTTTTTTCATACAGCTGAACGTTTTTGTTCTTTTATTATAAATGTCTCGACTATTTTTCGTGGATCTGTTGCATCACTAGTATAAAAGAAATATAAAAATAGAATGAAACTTGAGACTTCAAAGTCTGAAATTTTACACATACTTATCAATATCTCTAAGCATTATGTTAGAATAGTTATATGAAGTTATAGCTTTTAGAAGAACCGAGCGAAAACGTTTTTTTTTACCATGTCAATTACATACATTTGAATTGTTATTTCTCTAGCTAGTGATTGGACAATGTATGCATTTTCTACACAAAATCAAAAAGACTATTACAATCTTATGTCTGTTTATCTCGATGCTGTTTTACATCCAAAACTTGATCAATATGATTTTATGTAAAATGAAAATTTTATTTTAAAAAAATATGCTTGGTTTTGTTTTTCTAAACAAAGGCAGGAAGGTTGGCGTCTTGAACATGAAAAAACTGATGATCCAACATCACCAATTGTAATCAAAGGTGTTGTATTCAATGAAATGAAAGGTGTTTTTGTAAGTTAACTATTTTAATTTAGTTTTCTGTTCTGAATAGATGTTGTTTTTTTTCTTTTCTTCATTTTATATAGAGTGATAGTCATCAAGTCTATGCTCGTCGAATACAAAATAATTTAATGCCAACATCAACATATCAATATGAATCAGGTGGTGATCCAGAAAAAATTCCAGCATTAACATGGAATGAACTTAAAGAATTTCATGCAACACATTATCATCCATCTAATGGACGGTATGAAAAATATAATAGAAATTTTTTTTTATCTTAATAATTAAATTTTGATTAAAATTAGATTTTTTACGTATGGTTCATTTCCATTATCAGATACACTTGCATTTCTTAATGATTATCTAAATCAATATGAACGACAAAAAACTAAAGCAATATCATTAAAACTTATTGAAGAATCTCGCTGGAATAAACCACAATCAGTACATATAACTTGTTCACCACAATCATTTGTTGTTAATCCAAATAAAACAACAACAGTTAGTGTTAGTTATTTACTTGGAAGGTAAAATAATAATTATTCATTTATTAAATATGATTTATATATATATATGTTTTTTTTTGTAATTTTTAGTATACGTAATACATGGGAAACATTTCTTTTGAATATTGTCTGTTCATTACTTGTTGCTTCAGAAAAATCTCCATTTTATCAGAAATTAATTGTACCTAATATTGGTAATAGTTATTCGCCTGATACAGGGTAAATTTGAAAGATGTTTACTATATAAACTTATTTAGTAATTCTTTTATATTATGATACATAAACAATACTAATAGGTTATCGTAAAGTAGTTTGATAAAATGTTCGTTTACTTTCCAATTTCTTCAAAGCGCCTGCAGATATTTGCTACATTGGGTTAATATCAGGAGTGAGTGTTCTTTTCAAATATAACTCCAAAGTTTTTGTAAAACTTCTTTTTTTGAAAGTTATGAACCAAGTTTGTGGAGACTCGTAAATTGAGTTTGGACGAGTTTCAGCCCATCAAAACTTACTCAATGTAAAAGTGAAAATAATTTCAAATACAATATATGATTGGGCAAATATTTCTTTATAAAATCATATACTAATAATTACTATCGGCACCAGAATTCAAGGCAGTCGGATGTTTTTTTGAATAACTTTTCATAGGAACAAGATAGAGACCTCCGATTTTCAGGATTTGATAGCCAAGACCCTGGAGCAGATTTTCATAAGCAAAATCTTTGCTGAGAAAAAAAAATCCGCAGACCGGTTTTTCAGCGGATCTTTGGAAAACCACGCTGGATTCCTGAAAACTGCCATGGAAGTATATTGATTTTTTACATATTCGAAATCAGCATCAAAAACTGAGTCGATTCATGTATGTTTCGAATCTTTTCACGAACTTTTTTTTTTGCGCCGAAAAATTCACCCCTGGTCCTCCTGAAGAAGAGATCAAAAAATAAAGTCAGTCAAAAAGTCACTTGGACAATAGAAATCGAGTTCGGAGCTTCTAAAATGCTAGTAGAACATAAAATGGCCAATGAATAAACAATAAAAACGGAGTTTTGGCTGATTTCATTTTTTGACCTATCCCTCATGGGAGACCAGGGGTGAATTTTTCGACGAAAAAAAAAAGTTCGTGAAAAGATTCGAAACATACGTGGTTCGACTCAATTTTCGATGCGGATTCCGAATATGTAAAAAAATGATTAGACTGTTATGACAATTTTCAGAAATCCAGCATGGTTTTTCAGAAATTCTCTAAAACACCGATCTTCGAATTTTTTCTCAGCAAAGATTTTGCTTATGAAAATACGCTCCTAGGTCTTGGCTATCCAACACTGAAAACTGCAGGTCTCTATCTTGTTCCTATCAAAAGTTATTCAAAAAACATCCGACTGCCTCGAATTCTGGCGCCGATAGTAGTTTGATCCAAGTCATTTGCCAACAGTGAGTACTTTTGTAAGATATACCATTCCAATTTAGGCAATGTTTTCGATTGTTATGGAAAATAGACTTGCAAAGTGAGCTCGATCATTCTTGATTTCTATATGACTTTCTAGAGAACAATTTTGCCTTTGATTCTATCCAATCGGCAGTATAACGTATGTAAGAAAAGGAGACTATTGTTGCAAAAAATGTTAGTTTTCTTCATCTAAACGTAATTTTCATGTCTCTAAATGGTCAACTCATTAACTGCTAAACCAGAAGTCCTAGAAAAATGTTGAACCTATATTCAGAAACAATAGAAAATTTTGGTTCAAACTCAATGTTTTTTCAAATTTCTGCAAGCTTCTTTAAGAGACTAAAAACTGAACGAACACTTTGTCAAACTACTTTTCGATAACCCACCATTAGGAAGAACAAAATAAGAGCATACATTTGAAAGAAAATCAAGTAAATTTTCTATTGAAGTTTAATTGACTAGAAGAGCATATGAAAAAAAATACTTATAATCATAAAGGGTATTTCATAAATTTCAACCTAATTTTTCTTTTCTTTTTTGTCTCGCTTGTATTTGAAGCTGAATGGATATTGAATATAATGTTATCAAAATTATTTTTTTCGACGTGGCCGAACGTTACAGAATTTCATTTCTTTCGTCTTTGATTAGTTATATCTCTGTGAAAATAAAAGTAAATATTCTTAAATTTGCATGAATAGTAGATCTAACTAGGACCGATCTATAGTAAAAACTTCAGAGTATTTTCTTTTGCCCTCATAATGATAGAACTAACCAAAAATGAAAAAAAAAATTCGTAATATTCGAAAAAATAACTTTGATCCAATTATTTCCAAAAATAGAGTTAAAACTTATGAAACATTCTTTATGTTTGTTAGCTTATTATTAACTTAATGTTAATATCCACAGACTAAAACAATATTATTCATGTTGACTCGTATGAATTCTTCATCAAATAAATAACTGTAATAAACGTTAAAATAACATGTTGAATGAATTCTAGAAAATACTCTCATTACTTTAAGATGATTAAGTCGTGAAAAAAAAGTCTTATAAAACTCTCTTGACTTAGATTTCATCTTTTTTCCTATGTAGAATTTATTACTTTTGAATTAACTGATTATTCTAGTTTTGGACGTCATACATTAAATACAACATTTCATATTGGTTTACAAGATATATCCAAAGAAGATGTTGATCGTGTTGTTAAAATTATCGATGAAACATTTCAAGAAGTTGTGAAGTAATGTATAAGAGAATTTTTTTTCTATTTTGTAGTTTATTCTTTCAGACAAGGTTTTGAACAAAGTCAAATAGATGCATTACTTCATCAATTTGAACTTGGCATTAAACATCAAGATGAAAATTTTGGCCTTAAAGTTATTTTAGTTCGTATAAGTTATATATTAAAATTTTTTGTTTTAAATAAAATTTTTGATTAATTTAGGGTTTAATATATTCTTGGATACATGATACAAATCCAATTGATAGTCTTCAAATAACAAAATATATTGAAAAATTTAATAATGAAATAAAAAAGAATCCTCAATTACTTCAAGATGTTGTTGAAAAATATTTTCTAGTTCGTATAAAAATTAAATAATTTATTTATTGAAAAATCTCTTTTTATTTTCTTCCATAGAAAAATAATCATAAATTAATAGCAACAATGAATATTGATGATGAATATGCTGAAAAGAAAAAAAAAAAAGAATCTCAACTTTGTGAGCAATTAATATCTCAATGTAAAGATAAACAATTAATATATGAAAAAGGTTTATATTTTATTAAATTTTGTTTTGTGTTTTTTACTTCACCAAATAATTGTTTTTTTAGGCTTAGAATTACAAAAACGACAATCTGCACCTCAGAACGTTGACGTTTTACCTACATTATCTATTACTGACATTGATAAGAAGGTTATTCGTGTGCCAATAACACAAGGCCAAATAGGTATGTGTTCTACATATTAATTTATGGATCATTTTTATTTGTTTTAGGTAATACGTATGTTCAATTATGTGAACAACCAACAAATGGTATAACTTATTTTCGATGTTTACTTAATACATTTGAATTACCCAATGAATTAAAATCTTATTTGCCATTATTTGTTAATGTTCTCACAAAGTGAGTTTTTTATTTAAAAAGAAAACTATCGAACACAATAGAAAACGAAATGAATCTTTTATATTTTTTTAAAATGATGGTGGTAAAAGTATAGGTGGACCAGATACACCATTATAATTAATGCCATGATTTAAACAAGCAACATAAGCCGGAGGTGGATTTTGTTTAAAACGTGGTGGACCAATTGCTTGTTGTTGGTGTGGTTGCTGTTGTTGATAATGATCTTCATTAGGTATTTGAAGAACTGGCGGTGCAGTTCGATTATATTGATGTTGTTGTTGTCGTTGAAAATTTGTTTGTCGTGAACGATTTGTATATGGTTGCGGTTGCTGTTGATAATGAATTGAATCTCGTCTATAAGACATTGGATTATTATCAGATGAATATTGTCCAAAAAATAAAGGTTGTGGATCAGGTTGAGGTTCAAATATATGATTATCAACAAGAGGTAATTGAAAATGTTGTTGTTGTGATTGATGTTGTTGATGTTGTTGTTGCTGTAATGGAGGTGGTGGTGATGGCGATGATGAAAGTAAAGATGATATATCAATTGGTTGATTTTGTTGTTGAGCTTGTCGATGATAATTATTAAAAAATTCTTTAAATTGTGCTGATGATGACCAAAAATCATTATTTGTTGTATCATTAATTGATATTGGTTGAGCCGGTGTTATATCATGATGTTCAAGAAGACGATCAAGTGACATTTGTGGCCACGGTCCATTTGATGATGAATCATCAGATGTTGTACCATTACCCAATAGTTCGGGTGAAAGACGAAATTGTGTATCGAACATAGGATTCTTTTTGTTTTTTTCTTGTTGTATACAAAAAGAGTACGAAGAAGAAAAAAAAAAGCTTCACACAGGTAAATGTGCAATTATATATAAAATAAAGAGAAAAAGGAATAAGAAAGAAAGAAAATATGTGAAGCGCATCATTGAAGTGTAACCGTTCTTTTGCTTAATAAAATATATTATTTGTTTTTCTTTAGACTCGGTTCAAAAAAATTTAATTATCTTGAATTATCAGAACAAATTGATTTGAAAACTGGTGGTCTTAATGTATCATCACATTTGGATGAAAGTTCATTTAAAATTGAAGATTATGAAGAAGTAATTTAAAATAAAAGAAAATTGTTTTGAAATAAATGTTTATTTTATATAGGGTATTTTACTTTCATCATATTGTCTTGATCGAAATATTAATGGTATGTTTGATCTTTGGGAAGATATACTTCTTCATTTCAAGTATACAGTTTATTTATTTTGTTGTTTTTTTGTTGCATAAATTTCTCTATTCTTTGCTTTATTTTTAAAGTGAACAACTTCATCAATATGATCGTTTAAATACTTTAATTAAAGGTCAAGCATCAGAATATGCAAATAGTGTTCATGAATCTGGTCATACATATGCTGTTATACATTCAGCTAGTCAATATGGACCTGTTGATCAATTATCAGAAAATCTATTTGGTTTAACACAAGTTAATCGTATGCAAGAAATAGCTCGATTAGAAAATTATGATGATCTAACAAAAAAATTAAGTCAAATTGCAAATTATATTTTAACTAAAAATTCTTTACGGTAATTTTAATTTTTCTTTTTTGGTTTTTGTTACTTTTTTTTGCAAAAAAAATATTTATTTTCGTTTTTAAGTTGTGCATTAAATGGTGAATCCGATGGATTAACAAATGGAATGAAACGACTTGAAACATTTCTTCATCGACTTCCAGGTTTATCAACAAATAAATTACAATTAATACGTCATGAAAATGCACAATTTTATCTTAAAAATGATTTTCAAATTGGACGAAATAAATTACCATCAAAAACTCATTTTGAAATGCCATTTGATGTATTCTATTCAGGTCAATGTTATCAAGGTGTACCATATAGTCATGAAGACTATCCTAGGTACATTTTTTTCTTTTTGTTCTTTATTAAAATAAATACAAAATTTTATTTATATAGTTTATCAATATTAACAAAATTGATGTTTAATAAATTTTTATTACGTGAAATTCGTGAAATAGGCGGTGCATATGGTGGTGGAGCATATCTTCGTGGAAATTTATTTTCCTTCTTTTCATATCGGTAAGAAAGCACAGCGTGGTCCACAAGTCACTGAACCAAGAAAAAATTGAATATTATACTTATATTTTGATCAAATGGGTTGATTTTTTCACTACTGATAAAGGTGCATTCACAGTAGAGCCCGTTGGGTCCGAAAATTTTGAACCCGAATCTGGGTAATAAAAGAAATTTTCGATTCGAACTCGATGGAATCGGCGACTAACAAACGGGCTCTAATTCACAGTTTATATTTATTAGGAAAGTGTTGACAAAAACTATTTGAATTATGACCGGGGACTCTAATTAAAAACAGTCACCTTTTACGAGTTGTAAAAAAATCAATATAACTTCGTGGCCGAAATAAACAACACATTTATTAAGTGATTGGTCTCATTTTTACATCACAAATACATGTTTTGTTTTCCAGTGTGTCCTAAAATTTCAGTCAATAAATATCGGCAAATCTATTGAAAAAACTGTAAATGTATCACATGTACTCTTGTGTGACTGAAACCAAAATTCATTATAGTGCTTATCTCGTTTATCATTTCTTGTTATATATGAATTCGTGGATAATGTTTGATTAGCGCTTGAGATAGTTTGGACGTCAGAATATTTCTGACTTCTGAAAATTTAAATTAAAACAACATGAATATTAAATAGTGATCACAAGAAAATTTCTTTGCAACAAATTATTGTCATTTAGAACTGAAACATTCAAGATTCAATTTGTAGTAAAGCATGAATCTTTGGTGTAAATATAAAACGACAATAACATGGAAAACTGATCGAAAAAAATAGTTGCGTCACTACTTTTGGTCACTGGAATATATATTGTGTTTTGGTTTCTTCGAACCACTGAATTAATGATATTTCAAAAGAGTTTTCGTCGACATTTTTCGTATGACTATGAACATAACTTTATCAGTAGTGAAAAACAATGACTTTATTTAGCCAAAACATGATTGCCATATTCAATTTTTTCCTCAGTAAAGCGGCTTTTAGACAGCTCTGTATTAAAAAGAAGAGATAAACATTTGAATGATTTTTGTTTGTTTAGAGATCCACATTGCGTTGAAACACTTGAACGATTCAAGCAATGTATTGACTATTTTGTGAATGGAAATTTTACTGATAAAGACGTTGATGAAGCTAAATTAGCAACATTTCAAAAAGTAAAACGTCTTTTATTTTAAATTTTACTTTAAAAAATAAATGATTTTAATATTTTATTTTGTAGCTTGATAAACCAAAATCACCTGGTAATCAAGGTATGACACGATTTTTACATGGAATTGATGATGAAATGCGACAAAAAAATCGTGATGGAATATTTGCTTGTAAAAAACAAAATCTAATTGATGTAACACAAAAATATTTACTTAAAAAAGCTTATGCAGCTACAATACTTGGTCCGGATAATCCAAAATTTGCTGTTGATGGACAATTTCGTCAAGTGAAAAATTCTCAAATGCCATCAATTGAAGAATAAAATTGCACTTCTGGTTTTTTTTTGTATTTTTCTTGTTGTTTTCTTTAAGTTTGTTTAGATAAATAAACATATATTCAACTTTAGTAAATAAAGCCATTTATATGTGCACTTTCTAGATGGCATCTGATATAGAAATAGAGTTAAATGAAACTCAGTTGAGGTAGATTGTCTATCATAGTTTTAAATTGTTTTTTTTTTATTGCAAAATTCGTAGGGTTAGTTCTGTTCTTAATAAGGATAATAAGAATTATGGAAAGAAAAATTTAATTGATGGAAATGAGGAAACATGTTGGAATTCGGAAGCAGTAAGATTTTGTTTTGTTTTTGCTTTTAATATAACTTATATAAGTAATTTTTAGGGTTCTTCACAATGGATACAGATTACTCCTATGAAATGTATTTCGTTGAATAATATTGCTATTAAATTTCAAGGAGGTTTTGCAGCAAAACGTTTTGTTATTGAAGATCGACAACAAGATGGAGCATTTACATCAATTGCTGAATTTTATCCTGATAATCATGGCAAATTACAAATATCCTTTTTTTAAGTTCTATCGATTATTTTTATATGTTAGACTTTTTATTCATTTTTTTACTAAGTTTAGATTCCTTAACATTAGATAAACGTCTTTCGTCTTCCAACAGCGCATATCATCGATCAAGTTCCATTTCGATTAACATTTTATGATAGTTATGATACATTTGGAAGAATTATTATTTATGTTTTAAAAATTTATGAGAATAAATAAAATAGTTAAAAACATAAAGCGTTGACTGAATCTTCCTAACTGCTGAACTTGAGCAAACAATATATGCTTGTTGCGAATAGAATATCGATATCGCTGAACAAGATCGTAAATCAACTACGCTTTAGGTTTCATATTCAATAAGTCAGAAAGATAGAGCATGAAATTCTGTACATTTTTGAGTACTATCTCTTTTGGATAATAACTATAGTAACGAGAGTTTTCATTCTGTACAAAAGAAACTATTGTTCGTATTCATTGGTCATTTTATATAGAGTCAGATGAGTGCTATACATACGATTCTCATATGGTACAGACGATTTTTGATATTTTTTTAGGATGTTATTATATTTAAAAAGCAAATTAAAACTAGAAATTTTAACAATTGAAAACTGCACCGACTCACATTTTAGGAATCCATTTCGTTTTCGGACAGATCTATTTTGTTCAATAGCTCATTCTCATTGAGACATTGTACGAAAGTGAGCGTTTTAGAAATACTATAACAGTCAATGTCGACTATTTTGCTTTTGAAATTTGAATCAAATTTGAACTTCAAAACTAAATGAATACCATGTTTAGAATGAGCACAACAAAAAAATACGTTATATCATATACATTCCAACAAGAATACGTTTTTACGACAAATGCACCTTGAAGGAGAAGCACGAGTGAAACTTAAGGAAACAAATCTGTTCAGAGAAACAACATTGATTTTTTGCTGAAAGGTATTTGATATGACGTATTTTTTGTGTTCATTCTAAATATACTATTCTTTTATCTCTGAAATTCAAATTTGATGAAGATTTCAATAAGAGAATGGTCGGCATCGATTTTCATAATATTTCTAAAATAGTCACCTTCATACGATATTCTGATGAGAACGAGCCTTTCGACAGAGTAGATCTTTCTGAAAACATACAGATTGATAGAATGTGAGTCGGCACAGTTTTCAACCATTAAGATTTCTAGTTTCAGTTTGCTTTTTAAATGTAATAACATCCTCGAAAAATATAAAAATTCATCTATATGATATGATAATTGTATTTATTACATGTGTGTCTTTGTATAAAACAATTGATAATAATTATCCATATATAATTTTGTAGGGGATAAAAACTTACATCGATTTAGAGTATCAGTTTTTATATTGAGTTTTACAAAAGAAAAAATTACTGCTACCATAGTTATCATTCAAAAGAGATAGGTTCCCTAAGATTATTAAGTCGTGGAAAAGCTTTTTTTTATCTTGAACAGAACAATAAAGTTAATATATAGAGATGTGCAGATTTTCATAGTCTATCCCTCTAACTTATTAAATATGAAACCTAACGGAGTGACAGGTCTATGATCTTATTTGGCAGTATCCTTTGTCCAAGGACTTTATTTTAGATTTCATCTTTAGTATGCTTGTCATTTCTGAAAAGATCAGACATCACGAAAGTTATGATCATGCATAACTGTGATTCAATCATGTAAGTTTCTTATCGTCGGAATGAGAAATAATATATTGCTATGAAAGCTTATTGTATCGTCATCCATAAATTAACTAATAAAATTTGTAAATACTCTTGTATATACCCTGCTTATTTATGACAAAGCCATGTGATAGAATAGTCATAGACAAACTGACAGTTATTTACACAGCTAATCTCAAATAAGGATGAACTATATCAAAATTAAGATGATGACAGTTAACTAATATTGGAATATAAGTGGTTTATATTCTAAAAGAAAACGACATGATGAAAAATTATAAATCAATATTTACTAATCAACTATTCGTAGATGTGTGAAAAATAACTATCTATTAACATATTCAGAATATAAAATAAAATTTGATTTTCTTAAGCAACATTCATTTCTAACATGAATCCATACTGATGGACCTTGACTTTTATAGCACATACATTGAATATCTAGATCTACTCTACACTAAAAAGTTAAGTTTTGAACAAGTTATCGTTTTACAGATACAAATAACGTTAAAATCTAAAAAAGGGTTTGAATTTAATATTACTGCATTTTTTCATGTTTTATTAGTTATGTTACATAGAATGTACTGATTCAAGAAAGACTTACAAATCGAATTTGATTAAAACGAGCAAACAAATCAAAATCCTACATCTATATTTATATGTCTACTCTCGATCTTAATATATCATTTGCTATAATAGATCGTAATTTTTGCTGTCCTTGTACAGTATTTAACAATCCATCTCTATTGATTATTTAATCTAATTTGCAAGATTCAAAATTTCCAGTGGGATTAGTTTGCTTTAGTTAATCAAAGAATTGTATATTGGTTCAGAAAAATTACAACTATCCATCAGAGTATTCAGTCTCTCTGAGGATCATATTGCCTTTCATATAATTCATTCACAAGGTTTATTGTTTCTCTACGTTACTATGAAGAAAGAAAAACAAAAGTTTATACAATTCTTTTTTCTATTCATAATGGTGTAAGCAAATAATAGAAATGCAAGAATGATATGCAGAAAAGTAAAATTTCCTCGTAGTGAGAGAGTGTTCGTATAATTATAATATATTCTTTTTGCTACGTCTCTTGATACAAAAGAACAATTAAAACATTTTAGTGATTTTCATGTTAATACCATCTCTAAAATACTAATATGTATAATTCTGAAAATTCTACCTTGCAAGAGAAATTTTGACTTACGAATAACTTTTGAGTCGATATATAAGCATTATGTAGGCCCAAAGAAGCTATGCATATCCTGAAAAGAGTGCGTGTTCTTAGCTTATTACTGTGGATATACTGTACCTTTACAGTATTTTTTTAAATAAATGCCGTGGTAACAGAAAAACTGTTTTTCAAATTTCGACTTGAAACTTTGCATCGAGACAAGTCTTAACAAAAATAGCTTATTGGAAACGCTTCAGGACGTTTGATTTGCTTCGATCATGAAATAAGAACATAAAATATACCGGTTTATATGAGCAATGTAAAAGACACAGTCGTATCTTAGGACAAGAACAACGACAAGATATGAATCATTTACAAAAAAAAACTATTCTCGTTAAGGCCTGTTTCGGTACAATATTTCAAGTCGAAGATTGAAAATCGATTTTCCTGATGTTTCGGAGGGAAATCATAGCATTTATCTAAAACATAATGTAAAAGTGAAGTATTATCGCAGCAGTAACTCTTTTCAGAGTATTGATAGCTGATTCAGATTTTCACAATGCACACAGTCTAGACTCAAAAGCAATTATCAGTTGAACGACTTCCCTTGGTAAACTAGACATCGACGTCTAGTACATATACTGGGTAAATATCAACCTTTCTCAGTGCAGACGCATGTGAGAAAAGAATACTTCTGGAAGAAATAAAAACGTATTGTTCATTCTCTACCTACAATAATTCTACTATACATATTCCTGCTGGTGGCATGTTTCTAGGATGTAACATCTGATCGAGTTGTAGGTATATAATATTATGATAATTTTAAAACATCGGAATTTTATGAAACACTCTTATTAATTCATATATAATTCTTAACATCTCGAGAAAAAATTCTTTTATAGAGCAATTTGATCAATCATAAACGAAACATAATATATTCAAGTTTGAGTAATTTTCCTATAATAGACTAATACTTAATATTAAATGAATTCTTTTTGCAAATATAGAAATAAGAATAAGAGAATAACACTGATGAAAATAATGTTTCAAACGCAGACTTGTAATACTTATTAGTCAAAATAAGAAAGACACAGAAATCGAACCTCTTTTGAGACTGTCAAAATTTAAATTAATTATTAATAAATCTAAATCTATTGAAAAGTGTTAGCAGTTTATCATTAATTTTTTGCTAGTTGTTACTCTTCCAAGGTCTTCATCACATTCAAGTTTCGTGTTTCTTTCTTCAACACATAATTTACTATACATTACTTTAAACGAAACCTCATCGACCATACGCCATACATAGTTAAGCTTTTTTCAAGTGTAACAATCACCATATGAATATATACATGTCATATTGCTTTTTTTCTTTTCTTTGTTTCTTATTTCATTTTTTTTTTGAATTGATATTTTCAATATTTATTTGTTTTATGATCTCATTTTTTATGTCAAAAAAAAGAAAAAAGAAAAATTATGACAAAAGATTTGTGCAATGGTCCATTGATCGAACGAAAGAATTGAGAGGTAAAAAAAAAAGAAAATTTTAAATACATAGTTATTGTTGAAGAGGGAAATTGATCGTGGAAGGAAAAATGTGCACTTGAAAA